TTTTCTTCCTTGTCATTGTCTCTGTGCAGCCGCGAAGAGAGGAGGTGAACGCGGGTTTCTCCTTTCCTGGCCAGTGTCTGAAACCTGCCGCGTGCGTTTGTCCTCTCATGCTCCCTCATATTGTTGTTTCGATTTGGGGGGGGGGGCGGGTGGTGAGAACGGGCCTCACCCAACCCAACCTGTTGTAGTGGGTGAGCGGCTCGCCAGCTGGTAAGGGTTCTGGCCCAGGCACCATACCTTACAGCGCTTCACAGCGCGTGAGGCCTGGAGTGGGGGGAGCGGCTTCACGGTTTCAGATGCTGCGCTGGCTGGGCCCTCTTCACCCCCATTCCACCTACTCACTCGCTGCCACTCTACACCAGGCGCCCCTAAGACGACCCAGAGGGCTCTAGATTGGGGGGCCTTGTCTCTCCTTTGGGCGACCCTGCCACGCGTGGAGAGGGGTTGCGTTGGGGTTGTCTCTCTCTCGCTCGACCGCCCGCCCCCGCCATCGTTCATGCGGGCGTTCGGTTGGATGGATGGATTGGGGAGTGAGGGTGGGTTCAAGTCAGAGGAAGCGTGTGTCGGGTTAAGATTAGATGAATGCGGGAGATGTGATGCATGGATTGGACTCCGTGGCCCGCCCGTCGGTTGGCCTGAATTGGGGACAGCCTGCCCGAATCAGGGTGATGGGCCCTGGTAAAAAGTGAGCAAAGGATCTGGCTTGGGATATTGATGGCAGAATTTACTCCAGACGCTGGGATTGGCCCCTGAGATCATGACGGGGGGGGGCCAACCCAAAATGAAAAAAACCCGGCGGTAGATCGACTATTCTGCAAACACCGTTGTGGGCAAACGGGGGTTTAAAAAAAGCCCGACACTCCAGCCAGTAAGGGCCCCGGGGAGGTTCCCACCCTCGGTTCCCTTTTTTCCCTCTGCGTTCTGTTTCTTTGTGACCTCGGACACAAGGGAATGAAGAGACACTCGCAGTAGCTTGCGCTCGTGCCCCTCACTTGGTGCTCGCATCAAGCAGCTTCCGTGTTCGTCCCAATTCCTCCGACTACCAGCGTGACGGGTTTCGGGTCTCAGACGACCTTCCAAACCGAAGCCCAAGCGCGGCAAGCGACGCTCGATGTCTGGCACCCTCTCCAGCTAGGCGTCATCTCACGAACCATGGGGAAAAGAAAACATTCAGAAAAAAATCAGGGTCATGAGGACTGATGCAGGGACTTTAAGCGAAGAAAAAGCAAACAGTTGGTGTGTTCTGATCAGTACCGGCAAGACAAACACTCGCCATCTGAATCACGTCTTGGGAGTCTTCCGTGGTCTCGACGTCGTGCCCTGAAATAAGTCTCTCCAGGTCGGACCCCTAGTTTATCGAGATAGCCGAGGGGGCTTGGGCCTGGCCTCTGTGACGACCTCTCTAACAACTGCCGGTGTTCTCTCCCCCCTTCTTTCACGTCGCGGCCAACATCAGACCCAATGCCCCATGTCTGAGAATTTTCTTTTACCATTATTTCGGGTAGTCCTTCAGATGGAAGCTCTTGAGCTTGACAAAGGCCTCGAACCCGAACCGGCTGAGCGTCACGCCCTTGCCGGAGTTCTTCCATCCGGTCCAAGCGAGATCCTAGAGGGGAAGAAAGAATGCTTGTTAGCCTGGGAAACAAGAGTTTCGAGGAACATGCCAGACTTACGGGACTCGGGTAATCAGCCCTGTTGACGAATACAGTACCGGCCTCGACGTGCTCCGCCAGTTCGTACCCCTTATCCGTGTCCTTGGTCCAGATGCTTGCCGTGAGCCCAAATTCGCTGTCGTTCATCAGCTTGACCGCCTCCTCGTCACTCGACACCTTCTGCACAGGCAGTACCGGGCCAAACGTCTCTTCCGTCATGACCGTCATGCTGTGGTCCACGCCCGTCAGCAGCGTCGGCTTGACAAAGTTACCCTTGGGCGGCAGGTTGGCGAACGACTCGTTCTCGGGCGTCGCATCCTTGGCGCCCTTGTCCAGGGCATCCTTGATGTGCGCTTCGACCGTCTCCTTTGACCGCTTCGAGATGACAGGACCAATCTGTGTGGCCTTGTCAAAGGGGTCACCGAGCTTGTAGCCCGCAAGGACCTTCTGCGCCGCCTCGACAAAGGCATCGTGCACACTCTCGTGGACGTATACGCGCTCGAGTGAGCAGCAGCTCTGGCCCGAGTTGAAAATGGCACCGTCAACAATCTCCTCGGCGGCCCAGGCAACGTCGACGTCGGAACGCACATAAGCGGGATCTTTGCCGCCAAGCTCGAGGCCGACATTGACAATGCGGTCTGAGGCTGCAGACTGAATGGCAAGACCACCGGCGACAGAGCCTGTGAAGGCAACGGCCTTGATGAGGGGGTTGCGGACAATGGTCTCAATCTGCGTCGGCGAGCCAGAGTGGAAGTACTGCAGCACGCCCGAGGGGAGGCCCGCCTCCTCGAAGCTCTTGGCGACCTGCTCCACGATGGTGGGGGTCTGGGGCGACGGCTTCAGGATGACCGTGTTTCCGGCCAGCAGCGCTGGAATGAGCGAGTTGACCAGGATGAGGTAGGGGTACTTGTCGATGGTTAGCAAAGGGAGAGACATCAGGGGAAGGACTAGTGCAACCTACGTTCCAAGCAAAGATGACAAGAATAGGTCCCACGGGAACCTTACGAATGAAACGCTTGAACCCCTTCTCCGCCTCGCCGTCTGTGTCCTTGAGAACGTCGTCACTAATCTTGAGAAGGTAGTCGGCACGCTTGATGGCAGTCGTAACTTCGCCAGGCGTGTACGAAATGGGACGGCCCATCTGGACGGTCAACTCCTGACCGAGATCATCCTTCTTGTCAGCGAGAGACTTGAGAGCCTTCTTGACGATCTCCTGCCTCTCGGCGAGAGTCGTCTTGCGCCATGAATCAAAAGCGGTGGTGGCGGTGATAGGGAGGTTGTCTAAGTCAGCCTGGGAGATGCCACTGCGGGTGAGGATGCCCTCGTTCGTGCTGGGCGAGATGGTGGTCAAGGTTTCAAGCGACATCTTGGTCAAGCGATTTGTTGTGTTTGTAGATGGAGAGATGAATTACGATTATCCTCTTGAAGAGGAGGAGGCAAACGTTTGTGGCCACAACTTGTCGAAGCGGTACCTGATTCAGGGCGTGTGTGTGAGATCACTGAGGGGCAACAGTGCCCCGCCATCGTACACCGGGACCGGCGGCGCCACTGGACGTTGCTCGATAAGGGAGGCTCTCCGATTAGATAAGAGCCGGCAGCAATCGCGCTTGGGATCCACCAAAAATTTGCTCCGACTCTCCTACCGCAGACTGATGACCTTCAGCATCACGACAATTCGATACCTCGCGCACTGCTCAGAGTTGCTGCCGCTTTTGCTTTTCTTACGCCTTGTAGTACACCAAAGACCCTCACCTCCAAGGCCTTGAATATGGCTCCCGAAAAGAGGAACGAGTTCCTCGACGCCGAGGACAGCGACGACGACCAGAGCCAGGGCTACGATTCGGAAGCCGAAAACCTGCAAAAAGGCGGCCGCACGTCCAAGCGCAGAAAGGTCGACGAATCCGACGACGAAGACATCCTCTCAGACAACGAGTCCGTACTCCCAAGCAACGCCCCCGACTCCGAGGCCGACGACGATGCCGACAACAGCACATCCAAGTCCTCCAAAAAGTCCAAGCCGTCCCTGCCCGCGTCGGCCTCCAAGGCCCTCTCTCACAAGAACCTCATCGCCTCCGAGGCCGCCATCCGCAAGTCCGGCGTCGTCTACCTGTCCCGCATCCCGCCCTACATGAAGCCCCACAAGCTGCGCACGCTTCTGACGCCGCACGGCGCCCTGAACCGCATCTTCCTCGCGCCAGAGGACCCTGCGGCGCACACGCGCCGTGTGCGCGCCCGGCGCCAACAAGAAGCGTCTCTTCACCGAGGGCTGGGTCGAAATTCGTCAAATAAGAAGGACGCGAAGCGTGCGTGCGAGCTTCTTAACGCGCGCCCGCTGGGGCGGCAAGAAGGGGTCGTACTACCGCGATGACATCTGGAACCTACTCTATCTGAAGGGTTTCAAGTGGAACAACCTGACGGAGCAGATTGCGGGCGAGAACGCGGAGAGGACGAGCAGGATGCGCGCCGAGATTGCTAGGACGACAAAAGAGAACAAGGAATTTGTGGCCAACATTGAGAGAGCAAAGGTTATCGATGGTGTCAAGGCGAGCAAAGAGAAGAAGAGGAAGAGGGCGGACGGCGAGAACAGCGAGCCGTCGAAGGCTGGGGGTGCGTTGGAGGAGAGGCCAATGACGTTCAAACAGGTGTCGTTGGCGAAGAGGAACACGGGGGCAGACTCGCAGCCGGAGCACGTCACAAGGGTGCTCAGCAAGATCTTCTAAAGTAAGGCGGAGGGGAATCAAGCGTTGTGCCTTTTAATGAATATATGCAAGCGTATTAATAGGTTGCAGTGTTCACTGTGCGCCTGATCATGTCATGTCACTCATCATGCGACCATTGTCCTGATTTCGTCATCTCTCATGCATTTTTTTAGGCAAGGCTTCTGGTCCCTTTCCATCTACCAAGTTCCCGCACTATTCGCGGATAGCCAACTCATCCATGTCCTCCAGCAGCTCAGTCATGTCGACCTTCGGGCCCTCATCCTCGCCCTCCGTCTCCGCAATGCTCATGGCATCAGGATCCACCCGCTGCGGCTGCTGAGACTTGTACAGCGCCATGGTGGCACGGTACTCCTCGTCCTCCTCGACATCCTGCAGGAACTGCTCGTACTGGGCATCCATGCGGTCCTGGTCGGCCTGCTTGGGCAGCAGCTCACCCTCGTCCTTGGCCATGCGCTTGAGCTTCCACTGGCGCTTGCGGTTCTTCTTGCGGCGCGGGTAGTGCTTCTTGACGAGCATGACGTCCGGTATCCTCGAGCTGTACGTGTTAGAGGATTCAATAGCTTCGAACTCGGGGTTGTTGAAGTTGGTGCCAGTGATCATGTAGCCTAAAGCCTGTTAGCGTTCACCACTCAAAGGCACACACACAATGAAGCAGAACATACCCATTGCCGAGTCTCCAGGCTGCAGCAGGTTGCCCAGATGTGTGCGCACGAAGTAGGTCGTGTCATTGACACCAAGGTCAGAGGCACGGGCGACCGTTGCCTCGGCGGCAGCCCACTTTCCGCGGGTGACGCCGGTCCTCTCAATGTCCATGACAACGAACTCAACCATTTGCGTTGTGTCAGCCAGCGACTGGAAGGGCGAGCGCCAGTAGACCGGTGAGCTGACGTCAGAGATCTGAAGCGTGCTGGGATCGACAAAGTACACAGAGGTACCGATTTTGTGGCACAGCACCAGGGGCGTGATGTTGCCCTGCTGCTTGGCCAGCTTTATCGGCAGCGCGACAAGGTCATCTCTGCAAATGGGGACGAGCTCGACGGACGACGAAAACTTGTAGGACTTGGTGGCGGTGTGGACATCCTGGGAGATGAGCTCCTGCGACTTCTTGACCTTGACGGGCACGACGGCATTGAGGAAGTCGACAAACTTGTCGGCCTGGTTCTTGTGCGCGAAGAAGAAGTCCATACCCGAAGGCGCCTCTTTGATGTTCAGGGTTTCCTTGTGTGCACCGTGCTTGAGGATCTGCTGCTCGAGGAAGAGAAAGGTACGCTGGTGAGGGCAGTTCTTCTGTCGGACCTGCACAACGGATCTCCAGACTGGTCCATGTTAGTCGACATCTACACGAGGCGCTACCAAAGGGACGTACCGTGGGCAGTGAAACTCTTGGCGCACTCGGGGCACTGCGCGTAGGCTACGACGTAGATGGCCTCAAAAGCCTGCTGCAGCAGCACGCCGTCTTGCACCTCATCCTGAATCGTGATCTTGACCTTGATACGTTTTGAATGCGGTTCGGTCCAGACGAAGGACGCGTCGATAACTCGGACTTTGTTGAGGCCTCGCAGCTTCTTCAGGCAGAGGGCAAGGAGCTCGCGAGATTCGGGCTGAGCGACGATCCTAGAACACGTCAGCGATGATCATTTTGGGAGCTGCAAGAGTGACGTACCATGACTGAGGAGGCAGCAACCAACGGTCGCAGTCACGGCAGAATGTGAGAGTGGCCTCGCGCTGGACGCCGTTGGAGATATCGCAAGTTAATCGCAGACAAGCCTGGCAAATGGTACCGGTCGAGCCGTCAATAGGAGCACCACTGCATGGTTGTTAACACTGATGAAAAAAATACAGGAAACCAGAGTGCAGAGGCTCACCAGTTGTGGCAGAGCACAGTGGCGACAGTCGTCTTCCTGGTGAACTCCATGGTTGGGTTAGGTGTCGGCCTGGCGACGATGTCTCGCTTCGGTGGTGGGGTTGAGCGCCGAGGGGTCGACGCAAAGATGCTCCGACACGCACAGCGGTTGAAAAATTGCAGCCTTCGAGTTGGCCTTTCGTTTTTCGTTCGAAGAGCTGGAAAGGAAAAATCTACACACACGCAAATGTATAGAATCCTTAGAAGATGGCCGGCGCCTAGTTTAAACCAGACGGTGACAATGACGAAGTGGGCGCCAGAACATCGATATGGAGGGGTTCATTCTGGATTTTTTCTTCGACTATCGCCCCCGCCTGATAAGATAAGCCACTCGAGCCCAAACCACGCCAGCGCGCAGCCAGCATCGCTAACTGCCCCCGCCGGCCCCGCGCTCGTGTCGGAATATGAGTCACATGATCTTGAAAGAGGCAAAAGTGCGTTTCCTCGAACGATTCCTATGTGTTGCATTATGTAATACGCTTCTTACTTGTTCGTGATGATAAATCAGCTCCATCAGGCAAACTGCAGCTTCCAGAGGTCACCAAGCCGAGAGTTGTCCTCGGCGAGACCTCCATGGACGATGATCGCGTCGGTGCCATCCTCTTGGTGCGCCACATCGGCATCAAACCAGCCGCGCGAGGAGGGGGTGTCGCCTGTGAAAGCGAGCTTCGTCCAGATTTCGTGGTGAATGTCGAATGCCCAGACATCAGAGAGCATCTTTCCTGCTCCAGCGTGACCGAGTGCACTGGGATCCCGTTCGCCAAAGAGCGTAACAAGCAGATCCTTGCCTTGTGACTGGACGGCGACGAGAGCAGCGACACTGCGCGCCTCGGGCCCCTGCACGCCATCTGCCTGGAACGAGATGGTCGACCATGTCTCCTTCGCAATGTCGAACACGTCAATGGCCCCGCCCTGCTCATGCTCGCCATCGAACCCGTTCATTCTGTAGATTTTCCCCTTGGAAAATGCGATCGATGTTCCTCCGCGTGCGGGCGGCGGGGCGGCCGGCAGGACAGTCCAGATCCTCGACTCAACGTTGAAGGACCAGAGGTCTGCCTTGCGGCCCTTCTCGGGACATCCAGCGTGGAGGTAGATGGTATCCACGCCATTGGAGGTCGCTGCGTGATAACTTCGCCCATCGACAAACGGCGCCGACGTGTCCGCTGGCGTGATCAGCGTCCAGCTACTGTCGGCGGGCGTATATCGCCAGACGGCGCCGTTTTCTTCAACAGGCGCCATGGCGATGCCGCCACGGCCGGAGAACAGATAGAGGGCATTCTTGATGGCTACACACGATGAGCCGACGCGAGGCGAGGGCGCATTCTGGGGTGCCGGAATGGTGTGCACAGATGACGTGCCTGGACATGTTAGCCGTGTCGCTCACACGGGATGAGAACACTGCATGCCTTCGCCCAGGCGAACAATATCGAGCTGGTTATCGATGGGTTCTCTGGGAAGGAGTTCTCCGCCGAATATGTACGCAGTCGATCCGAGCACGGCAATGGTTTGAGAGGAACGCTGAAGCCGTTGGCTCTCAGCTAGCTTGATCCATGAAGTTTCAATGCTGGCCATGATTAATGAGGAGATATTCGCTATACACTGGAGCCGAAACTGACCGCAATCCACCGATGTATCGTCATTGAGTTACGATGAGATACCCTGATGGTCGTGGCTGGTCGTTGATCTGCAACCCCGCCACGCGCTAATTCCGCTGTTCAGCCTCCTCGGTCTCCGAGTCGTTGGATAACACTAATTACATAGATGCCCGTGTATTACGAGATCACCAAAATGCGGTGAGGTTCAGACCTACCTTGACTTCAGCCTTGACGTTGCACTGGCTCGATTGCTTTTCACGTTAGATAAAACATGAGAATAATTGTCCAACCTCGTCTATCTGTCTGAATGGCCAGTTCTATAGATTACGTAGTCAAATTTATCAGATCTCTGATGGGTTTATATTACCCTGTTCCAGTAGCCGTCGTGCCCAGAAGATAATCACCAGCCCGACCTGGGATATTCTTTGTAGCTGCGATCTCAAAATCACCTGACTATCCTGAAGACGTCAGAAATGAACACGAGTTCAAGAGGATGTCATGAGCGCAGTGGTGCGGTGATGAGCCGCTTTGCACAGTTGCTCACTGGGTTAATATCAAACACCTCGTCAGGACTGCCACCTAAGCCTCATTCCGGTCGAGCTATGAAGCCTTCCATGCACATGACATTTGTTTAATTCGGCCAACACACATTCATTTGTCTCGCCCGCAAGGCTCAAAATATGTCCCACAACGATATCTTCCCATCCTTACTGCCCGCCGCCAGCCAGTGTGCCGCCTCGGCATGCGCAATCCGCCTCTCCCTGACACTCACCTCTCCCGCCCTCCGCACCACGGTGCCATCACGCTCCTCAACACCACCGGCCGCCTGCGGTGCCTTCAGCGCACTCGCAAATGCAACAGCATAGCACCCGACCTCGTGCCACTTGAGCACGGCGACCTCCTTCATCGTCTTGCCCGAGTACACGCGCACCATGGCGTCCCACCCGCCCGTCGCGAAGACGCGCCCGTCGTCCCGGAACCGCAGACTCTGCTGGCCCGAGTGCTTCGTGTTGACCACCTTAAGCGGCTGCTCAAGCACCTCCATGCCCGCGGGCGGCGGCACGGGGTGACGCGCGACGACGGCGTCGGCCGAGGACGTCACAAAGGAGAGCCCGTCGGGGCTGACGTCGAGGGAGAGCACAGGCTGGCTGTGCGGCTGGGTGCGGTACGTCGTGTTCCACGTGCCGCTGGCGGCGGAGAGGTGCATCGCTGTCGTGACGCCGTTTTCGTAGCCAGCGAGGAGGGTCAGGGAGTCGCCTTGTGGGACGAGGGCGAGAGCCATGACCATGCCGTTTTGGCCCGGGGACTTCACCGTGTGGCGACGGGTCTGGGTGGGGAGGTGGTAAATGTCAATCTGCTCGTTGGTCAGCACGTGGCACGAACAGCAATTCAAAGGCGGAGATTGCTATTTGCAGCAGTAAATGGGGGACAAGGCTAGCGAGGTAGGGTGTACGTACCGATTCGGAGGCGAGCGTGTTGGGGACGGCGAGGAGGAGCTCCGGATCGTCGCCGGCGGGCGGGGGATCGGTGGGTACGCAGGCGGCAAAGGCGCAGAAGTTCATGGTGTTCACGTCTATGAGATGCAGAAGCCAGGGCTGCGGGCGGGGTTCGGACGTGTCGTCGAGGGGCAGCTTCTTGCTGAGGTTCGCCTCATCGGACGTGGCGAGCTTCCATACGGCTAGCTTGTGATCACGGCCATGTCTGTGTGTGTGTGAGCTTGGCGAGCATCAAAGGGGTGGAAGAGCTGCCAAGTCGGGCAGCCAGTTCGGCCATCAGACGGTGGGATCGACGCACGTAATGATGCGGTCGGCGCCCCAGCCTTGAATACCGAGAATGGCATTGTCATGGGGTTGCCAGACGGCTGTGGGCCTCATGATGGTGAGGTCCCAGAGGGCGACATAGCCCTCGGCGTCACCACTGGCGAGACGGTCATTGTTGCCGACAAAGGCGAGAGCGTGCACTTGAGCTTTGTGGCCGCGAAGGATTGTTCGTGGGTGTGGTGTTTCGGGCATGGTCCGCGCCGATGATGTCGGGGTACAGGGAGCACGAGGCAGGCGATCGTGGGAGGGGAGGGTGATGCCCATCGTCGTCAAGCTTTCGGGCCAAGCGCGACAGGAGCCAGAAGGGGAGAGAGGGGGGGGGGTTCAGGGTACAGCTTGGGCAGGGGCTTGCTTGGCTTGATCCTTCTACAGTGACGGTGGTGCTGCAAGTACTCGGTTCGCCATTTTTAGCCTGGGTGGGACCTCGGTGGGTTTGGGGGAGTGCAACTGTGGACCCCCTACCGCTTTCGTATGGTACCTAAAACCTACAGGCAGGTACAGTGCAGCTGGGCTGGCTGTGTTCTGCGGTCTTGAACAAGGCGGTGCACCAACCCTGAGGTCTAGACCATCTGATGAGCTGTTGATCCTCTTGATGCAATGCTGCTACATGGAGAAGATATACGAAGTAAATATCCAGATGCCTGTACGTTGCCTACTTATGTTCCACAGACGTACCCACCCTCAAGAATGTGCAGAGCTAGCACCTGCTTCGATGTATATCAAAGCTTTGTAGGTAGGTAGTGATCATTGCATGTACCAAGGCCGAATTCCAGCACCAAAAGCATGAGCCTCAAACAGCTTTATTCGTGATGTCACCTCGACTCAATTGGGCTGCATCGTCCTACTTGGGAAACTTGCAGATTATGGGCGTGTCTGATCCTACGAACCCCCTGGTCAGCACACTAATGAGCTTAAGACTCGCTGAAGGATTCAGGCGATCGGCAGATTCAGCGCTGGAAAGGGCAGTCGTAGGCGTGCACATTTTTCAATGACATACGCTCGCCATTGTTCTTTTCTCACGAGAAGGCTCAAAACATTTGCCTCATACGTTGAGGCAGTACCCTGAGCTGGCGCGAGATGCGAATACAACGGAAAACTATGATCTAGATTTAGGCTGGCTGTCTACCTGGACAAGGCTTATCCCGCCATGCGCGCGTGACCACGGCGAGTCTTTGGTTGTCCTCGATACTGCCGCCGTAGATTTCGTCCCGTGTTGCAGCGATGGCAACATGCCCTCTGTCACGAAAACAAGCTTAATCTGATTTCCCGAGTCAGACAATCTTACAACGTCACCCTCGGGAATCCTTACATCCCTCGAGCTTTCCAGGACGGAGGATCAGCCAAGACAAAGAGATCCGGGATGAACGGCTCTGCAGCGAATGGCAAAACATATGATTCGCCACTGCGAGCGAGTGCATCCGCTAACCGACATCACGGCCCTCGGGGGAGTGTACATGTTGCTCAATGAGGCCAGGATCAGTAGTGCAACTTCACAAAAGATGCTTAATGCGTCTGATTTCGGTGGATACGACCCAGCCACCGCACCACTTTACATGGTATGCCCTCAAAATAGCACCTGTTCAGGCTTGTTCAGGGTAAGCCCGCCAGGCCCAACATGCTCTAGAAATCAGGGTCCACCTAGAGCAACATCCCTGCGTCAAGCTTCGGCCTTGACGCTCTGGTAAAGCTCAGCCCTTCGGTGCGTCTGTAATTGGGCTTCAACGTCTTCTGCAGGCAACATCTCTCCTAATCCCGGCTCAGTTTGCTACTACGGTCTACGGATCTTCGAGTTATTCTGAATCCCACAGGATTTGGATACAGAACCATGACGATGAAGGATTGAGCTACCATGCTGGTCCATGTGCACGACTCGGATCTCATGCTCTACGTTAAACATGTTGGTCATGTCGTGAAGATCGAACATCACAGAAAACAGCATATAAGAACCCGAACTGATCTCCAAATTAAGTATCATTTTTCAGTAGCAGCATCAACAGCTTCAGCAATACCTCCTCTACGAACAGCACCCTCGCTGTCACCAACTCCTCTACTTCACTCAGACCCTCCTCCGTATCTTCTTCCACATACCAACATCTCCCCCGGAACCTCTTCTCGTTCATCATGATCAACTTGCTGATCTCCGCTCTCGCACTCGCCGGCGCCGTCTCCGCCAGCCCGTTCCCCCAAAACTTCTGCCCTGCCGGCTGCGACGTCATCGTCACCGAGCACCCAAACCCAGATCCCCACCAGACCTACTTCTTCCAGCAGATGACGGTAAGTCCATCTTTCCGCAGGCCAGCCTCTCAACGACCCAAGTAGCTGACCCAGCCCCTCTCAGAAGCCACACAGCTGCGCCGGCAACCCGGGCTGCGAAATCTCCAAGTCCGAGGTCGAGGGCAACGTCGTCAGCTTCGGCGCCAGCATCAGCGGCGCCGGCTGGAATCAGCGCCCGGCCTCGAGATCTCGCAGTACGAGGAGTCGGGTGAGGTGCAAACCTGCTACGGCGACCCGGACGACCCCATCTGCGTCTTCTGGGCGCACCCGCCAGCACCCATGTACACGGTCAACCACCAGTCTAAACAGGTGCTGCCTGCCCGGCCCCTACGCGCCCCGTCGTCATCACCTCGCCGAACGCGGGTGGCGTTCGCTCCGCGAGCATCTGCGGACGCAACGAGCAGTGCAAGGACAAGGGTTACTCGTACTGGAACAACAGTGAGTCCATCTCCCTTTTCACTAGATGCCCAATTTTGGGATGGAATGTGCTGACCTGGATTCTCATCACAGTGGAGCGCCAGAATGGCGGTGTTACGGTGTCTGGTGGCCCTCAGTCGTGGCCTTTTGGTAACCAGCACCTTGGCATCGTTCCTGACATGGACGAGATTCCTCCCCGTACCGCTGGCAAGGTTTGATAGCCTTTTTATATCCAAAAAAAATGATTGTCAACGGTGCATGGAATGAGTTGGGACATATAGCATTGTTTTCTTAGGCTAAAATTCAAAATTACGTATTGTATGATTCCTTGGAGACAAATTCCTTCTTGCGATCAATGGTAAATTTGGAAAGACGCCTGAAGACTGCAGTAGAATGTGTCCCTTGAATCATAACAGTGCAAGCTCCTCCAGAATTCTCACCGCATGACAACGATTTTGTATCTCATCGATTTGAGGTTTGATGATAGACAGACCAGGCGTGTGTTTTGGGGTAAAAGAAGAACATAATTCTCGCATTGAACATTGGCTGATGCCAATGCCCAGGCCTCTTTAACTACTGCCGACGGGCTCAGCCTGCCTTCTGCAGCTCTTAGTGTGAGCATGCGCAATGTTACCTGGGACCATAACCCGAGCAACGGCTAACAGAAGCCTTCAGAAGATGCAAGGCACTTGACAGGGTGGTAGGAATCGTGCAGCAGTTTCTGCAGAGCTTCTGCCGGGACGAGTGGTGGACAATCGAAGGCCACCGCTAGCCAGGAAACCTCAGGATCGTATGCATGAGCCGCGACGAGCCCAGAGACAGAACCAAAAGAGATACCGGTCCCCCAGGGCGACTGTTCGACGAGAATGAAGGTAGAACAGTCTTGAGCACCACAGCCGTTCGGGAGACGAACGTTTTTCCTGTTGACGACTTTCAGGCCAGAGAGCATTTGGTCTTGCTGCGACTCCGGGCGAGCGAGATGAATATCTGGAAATTTGGCAGGACCGATCGGATAAATCGAAGCTGATGATGATACAACGGCGTCTGTTGTGGGACTTGGAGCAGATGTTTCGGCTGACCGAGTCTCGATGACTCACTTCCGTGGCAGTCAGTGCGAAAGTCGCTGATACGACTCTGGGGAGCAAAGAAGTTACTTCCACCAATACTGCGATGCTCTCCCAGACGACTACACGTCAGCCCCTCAAGACCTTTATTCGACACGTTCCATATAAGCTACAGCTGGCCACATAAAACCGGCCCGGACCCTGACGCTTCGGCTCGTCAGTGCCGCATCATTGGTCTAGGGGGACCGGAGCGTCGCCGCTTTCCAATAGCAGTCGCCTTATTGCTCAATTGGTTTGTATTTCCAAGCTCTCAATATTCACCCTCTAGCCGTTCGGTCCTCAGAGTCGCATCGAACTGAAACCATGCATCATGCCGAAAACTCGGCGAACCGCCGGCCCTTTGCGGCCGAGGCAGCATATGGGACATTTACGGCCGTCGGACGCCATACACGCATGAGCGGCCGACTCGCGTCGACCACGCCTACGACGAGGAGCTGGAGAAGTGGGTACAGAGCGCTTATGTCCTCTGCAGCACCGGGTGCGGTCTCGACATTGTCGACAAGGACGGCAAGGTCATCGGCGTTCGGGGCAGGGCGCCGCATCTGGTGAATGAGGGGAGGCTCCGGTCACAAGGGGCCTCATGGCTGAGTATTCTCATAGTCTATGCACGGGTGCAGCAGCTGAGCTTATCACCGGGTGGAAGGGCATCAACAGCTCTGATCACTTACAGCGCACCCTAATCCGGCGGAACAGAAAGCTGGAACGCGCCACGTCGGACGGGGCCATGGGTCTCATTATCAAGAACTCCAAATCGATGATAGAGAGACTCAGCAGTCACAGTACAGCCTTCTATACGAGCGGGCAGCTGCTCCTTGCGAATACTTAGCACTGCCCTTGGTCGGGAAAGTAGGCTGGCATACACTTTACATGTAAAGCGAGCCTAACTCAATGTTTGGATGACGATTAATGGAAACGCAGGGACCGGAATACACGTCTGTGCATGAATACGGCAGCTGCGCCGACGTCGTCCTGCCAGCGGCGCGATGGGGCGAAAAGACTGTGTATTCAGAAGAAAGACACGATAATAGTCAGGTCACGGAGGGGTGCGATTGAGGTATGGGCTAGGGCTGGCGGTACCCAGGTTGGCCAGGTTTTCTTGCTATTCCACCTGGGATGATGGGATGCCAAAGACGGAAGGGCGCGGGGTACGATCGAGCTCACAGTTGGTAAGACGTAACCTGCTGTGTTCATGCTTTGAATCGTGCTGATGGACGCAGAGCGATGGGGCCCTATTTCGAAACAACCCAACGATTGACGCTGGGGGGCGGCCGTATCGAAAAGGTGACTGACACTGGAAAAATGAACGTTTCCGAGCCTCAGTCTGTAGCGGAGGTCGAAGCATCAATCAAGTCGGCTCGTACCTCCATGACTGATGAAGAATCCATGCGCAAGCGACAAACGGAAGAATGGTTTGGTGAAGCCTACGAAAGCATCAAGCCCCCTCTCCCGAGATTTATGGGGTACCTGATTCCCTGATCTCGGGCACGATGCTGAGATCAAAGCAGGGCTGCGCGTCCTCCGCCGCGTTGCAGAGTGTATGCGGCGTCGATTCGAGACGTACATCCTCGAACTGGGCGAGGACAGCCAGCGCGGCAGCAAGAAAGCGGAAAATTTGAGAGACGCACTGTTCACGAGTCGAGATCCGCAGCGCAGCCCGCACAAAGTGATGGATACACTACAGGCGCTGCATGTCTGGCTGGCTCACATCGATGGTGGCTTGACGGCGCTGGTGCCAGTCAGCCAGGCCATGTGGTATCAGGGGTTCTACGATGCGGCAGTAAAGGGGAAGCGGAGCTTGTCAAGGATCCAAGCCTGAGTCGAGCAGCAGATCAAGGTGAGGGCGCCGCAGACGCTGCTATGACCTGCGTGGACGGGTGTCGAGGACAAGGAGAACGAAGGCGTTGGCATCTGAGCATCTGATTAGCTCGCTCCTGGTGTTGTTGTGCAACGGCGAAATCTCCTGCCATCGATAGGCAACTTCGGTAGCCGTGTTCGTCGGGCCGGCCTAGAAGCTGCTGTCAGAGAACGTGAGTGCCTCATGCTAGCTGTCAGTCCCTCGTGGTGGGTCACTAAGAGACCTTTCTGATGAGGATTTGCTCATCCGATGCTTTTCGGACCCGATTCGCATCTGCGCGACTGGTAGGAATCGGGGTAGAAAGCTGTATAACACAGAGAGAGAGGAATCATCCGAGATGTAGTTCACAGCGCTGTGTTAAGCCTCGTACTAGGAATCATGATGACAAAGCCAGGTTTCTAAGGAAACGGTGGCAGGAGCCACTGATTAAGGGAAGGTGTTATTGTCATTGATCGCAGGCAGTGGCTATGATGATGTTGGCAAGGAAAGCGCAGGCTTACACAGTGTGTTGATCTCGTGTCCGCAATTTATCATTGGGTGCGCATCGGCCATATAGGGTGTAGATACAGTGCGCTCCACATGAATTTGATCGATAATCAACATTTTCGGAGGCAGCCGTCTCAGGGCTCGCTCCTTCAGACGATGCAAGGAGACATGCCTTGTTCGCGATTCTATCGACTTCTTCCGGTTTGGGATTGCATCCCTCCTCTCATTTTTGGTCACCCCGGCCGGCCACACGACGGACAGCCTGAATCCAGGAAGATGGAGGTCAAGAACCCAGCGGTTCATATCTACCCAAGAGCGATGGGCCCGGGCCTCCCGAACCCACTTCGCTAATCATTTGGTAGCTTGCTCGCTCGTACATGATCACGTCAGACTCATCTCGACACCCTTTCGTCTGGGATTACGCGGATTCGGATTCCTCCTCCCTGTCCGCCTAATCTCAAAAGCGCCAGCAGCAAGCCCCAGGTCAGAAGCAGTCCCGCTGGCGCGACAGATCCCAGCAGATAAGGTTTTTGTCTCAACGCAGATCAGCTTTCCCACCGCTAGTATGCTGACGGACAGCGACGACCGACGCGAACGGACGAATCTGCTGATGCCACGGCCGTCGTGCAACGGCGACGACGTGAATGGCTGTTCGCCGCTCTCCATTCTAACATGCTGCTATCTGACGCGCACATCTGATGACTATTGGCGCACAGGCGAGGCGGCCGTTACTTTTGGCAATCCATGTTTCAGTCGCGCTGCTGCGACGGTACAGTGGTCCGTAGGATTCATCTCCACCCGCCGAGCTTTTGTTCTTCTGAATTCTGGGTGGTGGGTGGAGTTTGGCGTCTGGCGTTTGGCGAGGTACTCCTGTCTCGGTTGATCGCGCCCATCTGACAAATTCTCTCTGAACCAAACTCCGCGGCGATTCAGGGGCTTGCCCTTGCATCTTCACTTCGCATTCCATCGTTCTTTCTATCTGCTTCTGAGGTCGTCTGTCGACTGCCACAGTGTACCCCTTCGCATGCTATCTTGGCAGTTGGCCTCAGCGTTGGGGGTGCGATTGTGCCATGGTGCGATGCAGTGAAGGGACGGAACAGAGCGGATCCATCTACCTGTAAGTCTCCGCTTGAGCTGTGCAAATGTCTCCGATGAGCTCAACCCCTCGTCGCCTTGGCTGTTTGAACAAAACAGCATCGTCAGCAGCCCTACTGCAGACGATCGCGTACGTCACAGGGACCAAGTTGCGAACTGGTGAGAGACACGGGCTGCTGGACGCGACGGAGACCACAAATGATGCCTGGAGTTTGGTTAAGCCCGGCGGCTCAGCTGCACCAACACACACCACTCAACAGCGGCCAAATTCCATCCATCGGCAGAAACCCATGGTCGGAAGAAACCCACCCACGGAGAAAACCCATAACTCCACGGGCGGTACCCCTCGAGCGCGCTAACGCCATCCAAAGTCCGCAAGCCAGCATCTGCAAACTCCATCGCCCTCACTCCCAAGTCAAGGCCAATGTGGAACGGGCCACAGGGCAACGGACATGGGCATGGGCCACACACTTTGTCCGCAGAAGCGCGCTAGCTAGCCAGGACGCAGGCCGACTTGAAGCCCACAAAGCACGAGGATGCTGGATTGCTCATCTCATCTCGCCATCCACAAGGCAGCCCCCCCCCCCCCTTGGATGGCGGACAAAACCCACCAGCAGATCATCTCACCACATCGATGCCCGGATTGGGCCACCGTGCTGCAGCTCGACAAGGGAGGGATTCTCGCCTTTTCTCGTAGGGCTTACCGGCTACCATGACATCCTGACACCCCGCCCAGCGATTACCAATAAGCATGTTGGTGCCCAGCCGCTTGCTGCCCGCGTATAAGCTGTGAGGGCATGGTACGTACCCAGCAGTGTACCTCGTCGTCGTGCGCAATTCTGCCGCTGAACACAGGTCGCCTGGTCTGGCCATTTCCAGGCAAAACATGGCACACATGTACCACCACCCCTACCCGGCCAGATGAATCACCCTCTCTCTCTATCCCTGTCCGCCCGAATCTCCGTGGAGCCGGCATTACCAAAGATGTCTCCGAACACGTGCATTGGTCACCTCGAGACTCTCGGTCTCGGTCCTAAGCCCGGGCGAGAACTTGCTGCGCAGGAGGGACAGAGTAGCCATGGGCAGAAACAGACGGGGTGGACCCCCTGCCCTTGCGGAACTGAGGCAGAAAGTATGCAGAGATGATGTGAGGCAGACCGTCATGGTTGTCTTGGTAAGATTCTTTCTTCATCGCAGTGGAAAGGCAGTGCTACATAAGGCACGCCCCGAAGCCATCTTACACGGCTCATCCCTTCCTTCAAGCCTCACACACTCTTGCATCGCGGGTCCTTGCTCACTACCAACCTTGTTACAGTAGCACGACACCACATCAGCCCTGACTTGACCTCACCCAACCCATCAACGGACACAAACGGGCTTCCTCGTCATGTCTCTGACCGCCAGCAACCTAGGGGGCAACCCTGAGAAGGAACCCGAGAGGTCCCCTTCCGTGACACCATCGGCGTATGAAGAGGCCAAGAAGGAGTATGGCTCGACCACCGACGTCGATGAAGAGGCACAGACGCAGACGCAGCCGGACAAGGGTGTCGAGGACGCCGCACCGGCGGAAGAACCTCAGTACCCTACAGGCATGCGCTTGACATTCGTCTTCGTCGCCCTCATGCTTAGCATCTTCCTTGTTGCCCTCGACATGACAATCGTCGGCACAGCCATCCCTAAGATTACCGACGAATTTAAGCGCCTGGACGAAGTGTCGTGGTACGGCGCCGCCTTCTTCATGACCGTCGCCGCCTTCCAGTCAACCTGTAAGTGACTTCCCGAAACTGGCCCACCTTGAGGTCACCATGCTGATAAGTGGTTCTCTCTCAGGGGGCAAGGCGTACAAGTACTTCCCGTTGAAGATTAGCTTCCTCATCTCGATCGCCATCTTCGAAGTTGGTTCGCTCATCTGTGCCGTCGCCCCGACCTCCATCGCTCTCATCGTCGGCCGTGCCATCGCCGGCGTTGGTGCCGCAGGTATCGGTTCCGGAGCCTACACCATCATAGGATTCGCCGCGCCTCCGGCCAAACGCCCCGCATACACTGGTGCTATCGGTGCTTCATACGGTATTGCCTCGGTCATCGGCCCCATCGTTGGTGGCGTTTTTTCCGACCACGTCACTTGGCGGTGGTGCTTCTACATCAACCTCCCCATCGTACGTTGCCCCAGTCCCTGAAACCCATTCCGACTCCCCAGACTGACTTGACTAGGGCGCCGTCTCTGCTGCAATCATTCTGTTCTGGTTCCAGACACCTCCTCATGCCATTCCCGTTGAGGCACCTCTGAAGGAGAAGATTCTTCAGATGGATCCCCTTGGCACTGCCCTCATCATGGCTGCCACCATCTCTTTCCTGCTCGCCTTCCAGTACGGCGGCGTTGAACATGCTTGGGACTCTTCTGTCGTCATTGGCCTCATCGTCGGCTTCGTCCTCATGGCTATTGCGTTTGGTGTACTTCAATGGTATCAAGGCGAGCGCTCCATGATTGCCCCGCGCCTCATCAAAGACCGCACGCTATACATCTCCAGCATTTACATGTTCTTCTACGCTGGCGCCTACTTCACCCTGATCTACTATCTTCCCATCTACTTCCAGTCGGTCGACAACCAATCCCCCACGCAATCCGGTGTGCGCAATCTGCCTCTCATCATCGGTGTCACCATCGCTACCGTTAGTTCTGGCATTTCAATCACCATGTATGGGCACTACACACCCATCCTCGTCGTATCCGCTGCCGTCTCTACTGTGGCGGCTGGCCTTATTTACACGCTCGACATTGGTAGCGGCAGCGGCGAGTGGATTGGTTACCAGGCTCTCGCTGGCCTGTCCTGGGGCGCCTCGTTCCAGATTCCGATGATCGCCGTCCAGGGTACCTCGACACCCGAAGACCTCGCCTCGAAGACAGCTATTCTGCTCTGTAAGTTTCGCCTGTGGCGCTGACAGCTTCGGCATGACCATCTTCGCTAACACCAACCAGTCTTCCAGATTATCGGCGGTGCTTTCTACGTTGCAGGTGCTCAAGCTGGTTTCCTCCAGACCATCCTCAAGACCCTTCGCGATACAGCTCCCCAGATTTCCCAAGAGCAAGTTATCTTGACTGGCGCAACTGAAATCCGCCACGCCTTCCCCACGGACGTTGTTCCGCTTGTCATCGAGGCTTACATGGACGGTCTTCGCGTGACGTTTGCGCTTGTTATTGCCGGCGCGGGTGTGGCCTTCGTAGCGAGCCTTGGGTCCAGGTGGAAGAAGCTCGACACCAGCAACCTGTCTGCTGGCGGCGCGGCTTAAGACGTTGCGGTCTATGAGGAGTCCTTGATGAGATGAATGATGGATAGCCGGAGGAATCGGGTTTGGGACCGAGAGTAATGGATATAGTGGCATAGACGGCGTTGGTGGCTGGTTGCTTGAGCAGCATGTTTGCATCTCCTATTCCGCATAATGACTAGAAATAATACCTCTTGCTTTGACGAAGACATTATATCTGGTAAAATGTCTCCTAGATGTGGACTCGTTACCGAAAAATTCTTATCTACGCCGGTTTCATCAAGTATAGTAGTCGTAGACCTGTGGGTTTCTTACGCAATGCAATGTATTCTGTTTGTTAACTAGCCAAATAATGTACACCGAGGCCCAACCGCCATTTTTCTCACAAGCAGTTTGTAGCCACATCTTCTTTCTCACAACTTGTCACACGTTTCGCAGCCGCGGATTACCGAAACTGCTGTCCCAGAACGAAGTCAGTATCAGGACCCCAATGCGTACGCCGACCTCATGGGTGAGTCCTCGGTTTAGCCGAGTAAAGTGCCCAATTCATCAGCACGTCCAACCCCTCTTCCTCCGCCACGGGCTGACCGTAGTCATATCCTCGCTCACGCCATCCTCCCAGCTCAGCTCGCCAAACTCGCTGTACGGCCTGACGTGGCGGAACGCCAGATCCGTCGAGCGCGGTCTCGTTCTCGACGGCGCGCGGCGGGGGCCTTGCCTTGCAGCTGCCTGGCGCATGCGGTGTGTGAAGAAGCACGCTGCGCAGAGGGAGAGCACAACGACGACGGGCAGCATCGTGCACAGGGCTATGAGGGCTGGTTTTGAGAGGGGGGCCTTGACGTTTCTGGGCTGCGGGGGTTCGGTGCGCGGAGTGGTGGGATCGGGGGTTAGGAAGGGGCTTATCTCCGGAGGTGGGAGGAGGGGGAGGAGGTTCGTGGACCAGGCTTCTCCGTTGAAGGTTGAGCAGGCTATCTCCGTGGGGGAACTCTGGTAGTAGAGTGTGAAATAGCGAGTTCCCCGACGGGAGGTTATAGTCAGGGGGACGGAAGGGGTATTTGCCCTTGGCCAGAGGTCGCGGGGCTGGGCGGGCTGGGGGACCCAGGTTTCCGGGTTGGTTGGTGGGGAGAGGAGGTGATGGAGCGTTGCGTCGGTGCCGATGTAGAAAAGGGAGGATGATCCTTGATCGTCGATTGTAAGGGCTAGGGAAAGGAGGGTGTTGGGTTGGAATGAAGCTATCTCGCCAGTCGTTGAAGAGATCACTGATGCTCAATTTTAGCGGCGTGGTTTGGTGGTTTGATGGCGTTCACACTTACACCTGTCCCAAACAGCGTCTTCGATGCCCTTCTGGAGCACTTGAATGCGCTGGTCACCCAGTACAATGACGGTAACCTCCTTTTCAGCCGACGCAGCAGATGCCAGCGCGAACCCATTACCAGGCTGGTCCGCCACCGATCCACCATAAAGCCAGCCTGTTGGGTTATGAAACGAAAGTTCATGGATCCTTCTTTCCTCGTCGTGGGCGTAGACTCGAATGCCCTCCTCGGCGCCAAGGAGGACGGCACTGAGCGCCGTACGATCATGGAGCGCGATGCCATCGGGAAGGGCTGTCGAGATGATCTCTGAGTTGTGAAGCGCGTAGGCACCGCTGGTGGCGTTGCACTCGTAGCGAGCGTACACGAGGTTGTTTGAGGAGTCTTGATACCAGAGACAAGCCTAGAGAAAGAGTCAGTCATAGTCTTGACAGACGAGTGGCGTTGGAGGAAGGACCCATGTTGTCACGGCGTCGAACCAGCCGACGCCGGCCAGGCTGCTGTGTTCTTTGGGAGGGAACTCGGTTTCCAAGATGAAAGGGTCGTTGACTGGGAAGACGAGATCGTTCGAGGTGTTGCAACTGCTGTGGTAAAAAAGGTGGGAAGTGGGAGCCTGGAGGACAAGCTGGTCTCCCATGTCCGTAGACCAAGCTGCCAATGAGGCCATTGCAGAGTTGAGAAGCAGTAAGCAGACGATGCCTGCGACCATGAACGTTGGGGTCCTCATCGTTGGTCTTGAGTACGGACTGCTTGTGCTAAAGACGAAATAGTAGCCTGGCTTTTGGACGATGAGGTTCTCTTCGAAGAAAGGTTAAATAAAAGAGAAATAGGGCGCTGGAGAAGTTAAGAACAAGAAAAAATCAACGACAGCCGACGATTGAGATCGATAATATAATGAAAACTGGAAGGAACGGACTTGCATATCATTTGAATTGGGAATATTGTTGCTATTGATAGACGCAAATGACATGTGTGGTTTTCCTCCTTGCATGTGGAGAAGAAAATAACCATGGGCAGTCGTCTTATCTCAGTTGACGAATTGTGTGCAATCAACTTCCAGAGTGACGGCCTCAAATGCCTTCGTGACGATGACATTACAGAGAATCACTCATCGTGCGACGAGAATAAGAAGACACGAATCTACAACATAATTGATGGAGTCTCTGACACTCATCACACGATCCCTCTATTATTTTGGAACTTCTAAAGCAAGCCTACTCCGACCCTGCCGCGTTTGTCACCTTGACGCTGCCATCCTCCATGCCAAAGTATGCCGCCACAGGCTTTTGGGCCAGTCCAGACTTACCGGCCTTGGCCGCTTCGCTGCCGTCGAGACCGAAAAAGATGCCGACCTCGACAACACCGGGAATCTTGACAATCTCGTCCGCCAGCGCCTTGACGCCCCACGAGCCGTCGGCGGCACGCTCAGCACCTGCGCCCTCGCTGAGCAGCTTCAGCGGCGCAAACGGCGCGTCAATGATCCACATGCCATTGTCCGTCACGACCTCGCCGGCCTTGCCAGGGACACCGGGGCGAACGAGGGGCCCGGTCGAGCCCAGCGCCACGAGCTGGTTCAGGACATCGGGCGCCGCCATGGGCAGGACCTCAATGGGAATGGTCTTCCACTGCGTGAGTAGGTTGTTCGAGAGCTTGCGGTAGTCGGCGACGACGACAAACTTCTTAGCGGCGATGGCGACGAGCTTCTCCTGCAGCAGACAGGCGCCGCCGCCCTTGATGCAGTTGAGCTCGGCGTCGACCTCGTCGGCGCCGTCGAACGCGACGTCCAGCGTCACGGGCTTGCCACTCTCCAGGGGCCTGTCGTCGAGGTTGCAGAGGCGCAGGCCGGCAGCCCGGATGAGGCCCTTGCTCTGGCTGCCGGTGGGGAAGAAGGTCATCTCGCCCCAGAACGAGGGGCCCTTGGCAGCGATGGCGTCAACGACATAGACGACTGTGCTGCCAGATCCGATGCCGACGTAGCGGTGGCTAGGCTGCAGGTGTTCGGACACGGCGCGGGCGGCAGCGGCCTTTTTGGCGGATTCGACGGGGGACAGGGTGGACATGGTGCGAGCTGCTGTTGAGGCTGCTTCGGAAGCAAAGTGAAGCCGATGAAGGAAGGGAAGGGGTATCTTGTTGGTAATTGTTGCTTGAGGGCAAAAGAAAGATGGACGCAGGAGGCGGAACATGGGGAAGGGAGGGAGGGGTGAGGGTAAATCTCACGATGGTAACGACTGTGGTTGAGGTTTAAGCTGTAGTGGGGTGGTATGACGACAGCCGCCATGAACCTCCGAGTCCGGGTGCTGAGTCAGTGCGAGGTGGGGACTCAGCGAAGGCACGTGATCTTCAGAGACTGGTCCGCACTGTAATTCCTGCGCTTGGCACCAGAACCTCGAGACACAAATTTTCGTACTTCAATTGCAGTTTTATTTTCAAAGCCGTCACCCCCTCCGCTCAGTCATCCCAGCCATCCTGGTTGGGATACCCTGAAGAACGAGGGAACGATACGCCGCGGTTGCAACAACGCCAAGGAAGAAGTTGCCGACAGCCACCGGCATGATGAAGTACACCAGACGTAACACCTCTCCCTCGTGCGGGGTCATAACGTCTCCGCACACCTCCCCCATCATTCAGCGGCGCTTTGGCCGAGTGGTTAAGGCGATGCCCTGCTATTGATGAGCGTTCTCGGACACTCGATAGACCAGGCATTGTGTTCGCACGCGCAGGTTCGAATCCTGCAGGCGTCGTTAATTCTTTTGCCGTTCCATGCTTCATGATGGAGCACTGTATTATTGATCTTGACTGCTTACCTACCTACCTTAGGTGCCTACGTAAGGAACTCAAGGCACCTACTACATTGATGACCCGTCCTCGGCTTAAGGATTGCAAGGGAAGATGCAAAGTCTCAAGCCCTATTCTTGACGAGAACATGTTTACGGCTGCCCAGCCAAGCATGAAGAACAGATTCTTCAGCTCCAGGTTCTCCCATGTCGACTTCTCCACATGACGGCTTGCCAGGCGACAGGCACTCATGTCCTTCCATTCGGCCCACAGCGTGAAAAGTCCCCACGTCTGAACTTTCTTCTTGATCCATGTCTTGCCGTAGTAGCGTGCCTTGCATATGGCCATCAAATCAACTTGTTTCGGCCACTGTCGTACGTCAATTCGCGCTGGTTATATTCGCAGACGAAAGAGGTGCAAGGGGATCTAGTGACCGTTATCAGACGGATCAGTCGCATATTGTGGCCGTTGCCAACGGCCACGTCCCCATTGAGCCGATGATACTACGTTATGAATTGACAGTGCCAGAGATGCGAACGGGTTGCACTGCTTGCCAAAGATCTGACGCTTTCCTTTCCACATCGACAAGCCAGGCGGGACGCACCCGCCAGATTTTCATCGAGTTGAGGCACCGGCTGCCGAGCAGTCATTGGCAACTTCCCCATCCAAGCTTTGAAGAAACGGGCAATGATCCACTGCAGGTCGGGTTCATAAGACAAGGCCAGCATGGCTCAGGACCGACTCATCTCTGATGAGTCGCATGCTCTTGTCAGTGACATGGGCTTGTCGCCATCCTCTTCGAGGTAAACACGCATTCGAGGTAAACACGCATTCGAGGTAAACACGCATTCGAGGTAAAAACGCATTCGAGGTAAACACGCATCGGCACGATAATGATCGAGATGTCTGGCTGTTTCTCAACAGAAAGAAGTCTGTTAGCTACTCTGCCTCGGAAAATGCTGGGGGAGAGCCTTGTCTTTGTTGCACCTGGAGGGCAGAAGCTGGCTCGGCAGGCCGAGCTTGACTCTCCTGGGGCTTTTGGAACGGGGGTTCGGATCAGCACAGGATTTGAAGCCTTCCATAAGGATCTTGCAGATCTGGCAGTAGGGTCATCTTGACGCACGGCCGCCACCTAAGGCATGTCGGGTTTTGTAGGTAGCTATGAAAAATTTGTGTACGAGTGGAGGATCTATGGCAGCGATCTTATCGGACGCAAGGTGGGAGTTGATGTCAAGAGAAGAGTACACGATGTCAGAATTACATTCGCTGAGTTGATGAAAACGAGATGAAGTGTGAGAACAATTCGATACAAACCCCATCCCGACCTGTTTAGGCACTCCGCCCTTCCTGTCTGCACCAACCAGTGCCGTGGTTTGGGTTTCTTGAGCATCTCCCCATGTCGGTCTTGCCAATGTCAGTTGATGGTAGCCTGCTGATGCATGTCCCTAGCGAGCGATCCAGTCTTGTTCATGATGTTTCTGCACCGGGACTATGGACAATTAAACAGTCGTCGCCTTCTTTTATGAGAGACGTCTCTTCATGATGCCTCATTGTGACCGAACCCCATGACATGTATGACGCAGAATTCTAGAGACCGAGAAACGATGCATGACATCGCGACGAGTCTGTTCCCAAGTTCTGCGTCGTTTGCAAGCATCGCGAAAAAGCAGAAGTGAATGAGACACAACCAATCGCTGCCGAGTTCGCGTCAATGACGTCGGCATGGAACGCAATACCGCACTGTAGGACAGAGTTCACCCGCGCGCTCAGACCAGACAAGACAAGAGATAAGCATCATCTTCGACCTCCTGACCTCTCCTTCGACGAGAAGCGCTGGCCTTGGCTCTCTGGCTCCCCCTCTACAACCCATCCACGATGTTGTCTCTTTTCGCTGCTCTCCCGGCCATCGTCCTCTCTCTCCACTTCACCATCGCGGCAGTAGCCCGATTGAGCGACGCACTCCCGACCCTGCACGCGCGAACCTATCGGAAGACGCAGCTCTCGGCAGCGAAACTCTACCCCATCGTGCCCTTCAAAGACGACATTCCCAGACACATGCGCTACGTCGGCGCCTGGTATCTACTGACCGCCGCCATGCTTGCCTGGCCTTCGACGCGCGGCAGCCTGCCGACGCTCGGGCTCGTGCTCTTCTGGACGGGCGCCGGCGCCTGGAGCCGGGCCAAGAGCGGCCTGAAGTTCCGCCTGCCGCTCATGAACGCGTCCCTCGGCGTCTTGGTCTTGTCATGGAGAGACTCAACGGCTGACTGGGCCGGAAGAGAAGAAAAGAAAAAGAAACGCGACGCGCAGGACGCGTTTGCCATGGGAACGTGCCGCGCGCGCTTGGAGGTGGATGATGTAGAAGGCTGAGATGACATCACCATTCGCTCGAGCTGCTTGGATCTACCATTTTATCTTCTCTTCGTCGGTCACGAAACATCCATCTTCCCGTCGCCAGTATTCAGTCAACATTCGAGATCTACAGAATTCAATCATCAAGATGGCCGCGACACGATCTGACGACACCCATGCCAAGGCCGACGGCGCTCACGGTGATGCGGCTGCCGGCGAGAAGCATGTCATTGACAATCAGGATAATGGGGCTTCGCCAGACGCAAAACGCGTGAAGAGAGATGAGGCCGACGATGGGAAACAGACGACAATTGAAGAAAGCTTTGCCAAGAGTGGCGAGTCCAAGCCCACAACCACAACAGACGAGTCACGCGACGATGAAGCCGATGAACAGACGAAGAATGACAACGACACGGAAATGGGCGATAGCAAGGACGAGGAAAATGAGGACAAGGAAAGAGACAACAAGGTCGATGCCAAGCCCACCAGTAGAAGCGACACCGCCGAGAAGCCCCACGAAGACCCCGACGTCCCCTCTAGCATCCTCGAAAAGGGTCTCATCTACTTCTTCATCCGCGCACGTGTCAATATTGATGAGCCTGAGCAGGTCAACGACATTGCTCGCAGCTACTTCATTCTGCGACCTCTCGCCAGGGATGCCCGTCTCGGCGAGGGCCCCATCGGCGACGCGGGCAATAGCCGTCTGCTGGCGTTGCCGAAGAAGGTCCTCCCTCAGAGTGGAAAGGATCGATTCATGGTCTTTGTCGAAAAGTCGGGCGCGAGCTTCAAAGAGCTGAAGGAGACCTTCCTGCAAGGCGCGGAGAACGTGACCAAGACGCAGGGGACGAGCACGACGCCTCCCGCCACGCCGGCCGCCGAGGGCGTGTATGTGATCACCACCACCGGGCGCGATAGCCACCTGGCGTACATGATCACCCTGCCTGGGGAGCTGGGGGAGGTACAGAAGGACCTGGGTGTCAAGGAGCAGGGCAGCTTTATCCTGAGCACGAAGAACCCCGAGCAACCTTCGCCCGCGAACACGCAGTTGCCCGAGGGGCCAGGCTTCTCCAAGGAGTCAGTCTTTGCTTGCTCCGACATCGCTATTCCCTTGCTGACAACGATTGCAGGATCCAAGACGAGTTTCAGGGCCGTCGCTGGCTACCCTCGAAACCGGCGCACTTTGACTACCCCAACGCGCAGATCCTGCTCATTGGCGAGTCCAGCGGTATTGACAAGGCCGTTGAGCCGCAGCAGAAGGACCAGAAGAATGGCAAGGAGGAGCCAGAGGAGGTGCTGAAGGATCTGGAGGATGGCGATGTCGATCGTATGAAGCATCTAGGCGGAAGCGACTCAGAGGCTATTTTCAAGGACTTGAAAGCGAGTGCGGATGACTTTCCCAAGCTGATGACGACTTTCTGAGCTATAGGAAAACCACCTGATTTGATGGAGATGGCAATGCTCAACGTCTTATCGTTTGCTGATTTAGGCGCGAGCTTGACAGCCACCCGCATTGGCGACAGCATGTCACGTTCGAATTGACATCCATCGGTGGCATCAAAGGCCGCTGGTAGTTGTTCTGCTAACAGTTAGCTGTACAATAAAGGTCACGGGGCGTTGAATATGTCAAGAATCGTGCTGGCAAGCCTCAAATAGAGGTCTGATCGTACGGGTCCTCGACGGGATTCGTCGATGCGAAGTGCAACGAAATTGCGACATCGACAAATGGTAAAAGAAGCGTCTATTGCAGGCCGGCCCGATGAAAGATTGTATTCCTAACTCTGTTCTCGGCGAACAAATAATCTACGAGAACATAGCTCTCAATGTTACTGACTGCGACAACTCGGTGAAGGCGGGGTAGTGACTCCTGACCGAAAGCTCCTTAGTCAGCCGCGGGGTTGTTCCTGCCACTTCGCACCACCTGCCGTTGACTCACGACTGCGGCCAGAAGTTCGGACCCCTCCTCCGCGATCTTTAAAGTCCGCGACGTGTCGCTACCACCGTACCTACTCTCCCGACTGCTTTCGGAGCGAGCTCTAGCAAGCCTTTTTGCTGAGACCTTCAGTAAGGACCAAGTGTCTGACAGCATTGACACGACTTTCGTCGCTTGCGACCTCCGAGCACCCTGCCAACGCGCACGAGTATCGACCCCGCGTTGCGGCCATCACCATGTCTGCCGCCCCCGAAGCTCCCGCCCAGGAGGTCCCGCCCGCCGCCGTAGGCGGGGCTCCTGCCGACTCTTCGCAGCAGAAGATCGATCCCTGGAATGTTTCTGGTGCTGTGAGTGTTCTGTGCCAGACCATGGAGCGGGCAATCGGCCATGCACCCAGGCTGCTGGCTCGACAGAGTGGTGAACGAGGGCTGATCTATTCAGGTCGGCGAAGATGGCAAGATTCAGGCCATTGATTACAGGGTACAACTTTCGCCGTCCTACACGATCCAATCGAGACGACTGACGTATACTACAGAAACTTGTGGACGAGTTTGGCACCAAGCTCATTGACGAGGCCATGCTCGAGCGTTTCGAACGTGTTGTCGGCGTTAAGCCGCACCACCTCCTCCGACGAGGCGTTGTTTTCTCCCACCGCGACCTCGACCTGATCCTCGACCGATACGAGAAGAAGCTTCCCTTCTTCATCTACACAGGTACGCCAAAATAATACGGCATCGGTGATCAGTACGAAGTAGAATCGTGTGCTGATGTAGTTTGTGTACAGGCCGAGGTCCCTCTTCTGACTCGATGCACATTGGACACGTCATGTGAGTTTCGTGTGGACTTGTAGAAAAGTCGAAAGGTGGCGACTAACGTATCAGCCCCTTCACGCTTACCAAGTGGTTGTCGGATGTATTGGATGCGCCGCTTGTGGTATGTTGAGACTGAACATGCGATTCCCATTGCACGACTGACATCTTGCAGATCATGATGACGGATGGTACGTTTCGCAGCTTGCGCTACGCCAACTCACAGACGGATGTAGCTGCGTTTATGGACTAACACACTTTCATAGATGAGAAGTTCCTCTTCTCCGAGAAGCGAACGTAGGTTGCTAGCTGCACACTTATTGCTGCCGAACTGGGCTAACCAGCAAAAGCGTCGAGGAAGTGAAGGGATACACCAAGTCCAACGCCAAGGACATCTTAGCCATTGGCTTCAACCCTGACAGGTTTGTGCTATACCAGTGGGTGGACCATTGAAGTCATACTGACCAGTGTTGTTCAGGACATTCCTCTTCAACGACTACGATTACGTCGGCGGCAAGTTCTACGAGACCATCTCCAAGGTATCCAAGAGGATCACTGTCAACACTGCCAACGCGGCCTTTGGCTTTGATGGCAGCTCCTCTATCGGCAAAGTAAGAAAAACAAGGTTCTGCTGCCGACTTTCACTAACGGTGTGCAGGTGCACTTTGCTGCCATTCAGGCATCAGCCTCCTTCGCCCCGTCATTTCCCCACATCTTCGGCGCGGATGAAGCCCGCTCCAGCCAGATTCCGTATGAATTCTGACCAACATGATGTCCTGTCTGATACAATATAGCTACTAACGCAATCCAGTTGCCTCATTCCCTGTGCTATTGACCAAGGTGAGTTCTTTTAAATGATTCCCGTCGCCATGTTAGCGTCACTCCTCAACCATATTGGCCTGTTCTTTGACCTGTACTTCGACTGTTGATGGGCTTCGCAACTCAAGCAGCCACATCGTAGACCTCATACTAATTCTCAAAAGACCCCTACTTCCGCTTGACCAGAGACATCAGCCAAGGCCTGAAGTACGCGAAGCCCTCGCTTATCCATTCTCGGTTCCTCGACGCCCTGCAGGGACCTGGCTCTAAGATGTCGGCATCTGTCGCATCCTCTGCCATTTTCATGTTCGACACACCCAAGCAGATCCTGTCCAAGATGAACAAGTACGCCTACAGCGGGGGACGCGAGACGGCGGAAGAGCAACGTGCGCTGGGAGCCAACCCCGATGTCGATGTCAGCTATCAATACCTTCGATTCTTCCTTGAGGTACGGGTCCACCCCCCTACGCTCTTCACACTCACTGACAGGTCATAGGATGACGAGGAGCTAGCCCAAATTGAGAAGGACTACAGGTCGGGCAAGGATGGATGACTGGCGAAATCAAGAAGAGGTAAGAGTTGCCCGCCCCTCGAAGGATTTTACACCACTGACGGTAGCCAGGTGTGCCGAGGAGTTGTCCAAATTCTGCACAGGGCTTCCAGGAGAAGGAGGGCGAAGGTGACCGACGAGACTGTCGCGCAGTTTATGACTCGTCGTCCCTTGGTCTGGCGCGGTTCAGAGGGCCTCGCCGACCTGGCGGTCAGGCCTAAAGCAGATGGCGAGGGCAAGGCCGAGGGTGAGGGAGATGGAAAGCTGACAAAGAACCAGCTCAAGAAGTTGGAGAAACAGAGGCAAATTGATGCGAAGAAGGCGGCCAAGGCCCAAGAAAAGGGTGCCAAGGATGCCGGTGCCGCTGAAGCGCCGGCTGCTCCTACCGAGGCGACGCCTGCGTCGTCATAGGACTGCAAGACAATATACCATGTTCCGAAGAGGCTTTTGATGGAGAAATGATTCCCTCGAAACATGACCGCAATTCCAACACCCCTCATGTCCATTTCGGGCTTGGCTTGCTGCTGTGCTCCCACAACTGGAAGGTCGTCAATACAAGCGGCATCGCTGCCGAGGGTGTTCACATCATTACTGAATGGAGCGCGGAAGCAGCCTCATGCGCGTGTTCTGCATAAGACAAGGATTACGCAACTACCCCACGAGATCCATCGCATCTACCTCGAGACTTTGATTGGCGGCATATTATAACCGCTCGATTGTCAGCGGCAGATCGCCGACTTGGGCTGAACAACAGATGGCTCGGGAAAGCCTAGGTTGGTGCCGAGACGGCCGAACCTTGTTTCTCTCATCCATCAGGGGTGGCACATCATCTGTAGAAGGCTGTCAATGCGGACTTGGGGACTTTTCATCGAACCTCCTGACCATCGCTCATGCAAATCCAATCGCTTTTAACCACTGTGCCATTCCCACCAGCCAAATCGTAATGCGTGAACAACAAGGCTATCGCGCCATGAATGCTAACACTGGTGGATAATTGAAGATGCTTCACAGATTTCAACACTCGGCAAGTCGGCATTGGAGTACATTCGAGGTCTGGGTAAACATTGTGCGGCTTAATTTTAGTATAAAGGTCAACAGATTCACTCTGAGTCTACCCATAACTGTTTACCACTCATCAGCCGCCGTCGAGTCCCACATCACCAGCCTCTCAAACCTACGAAATCCATCACCGGCATCCATCTTAGGTCTTTTCATATCCTGTGAGCTTCTGCAAACATGCTCAACAGCAAGATCGCTCTGGCCTTGTTCGCTGCCGTCGGCGCTGCAGTGGCCCAGTGTGGAAACGCTGCTGTCGATGAGCTTGTTGGCTACGGCGCTGCCACCACTGGCGGAGGCAATGCCCCGCCTGTTGTTGTGACCACATGCAGCCAGTTCACGGCGGCTCTGAAGAACAGCGGTGTTATTCACGTCAGTGGAATCATCGATGGCTGCGGCATCCTCCGTGTAGAGAACAACACCTCGGTTCTCGGCCTCGGTGCCAAATCCGGCTTAACCGGAGGTGGCCTGCGGCTGTACAAGGTCGATAACATCATCCTTCGCAACCTTCATCTCAGCATGGCGCCCCGGGGCGGCGACCTTGTTGAGGCTGAGCGCAGCACCAACATCTGGATCGACCATCTCGATCTCTCAAACGCGGGCATCGTCGGCAACAAGGACTTTTACGATGGTCTGCTCGACATTAAGCGTGCATCGGACTGGGTCACCGTCTCGTGGACCAAGTTCCACGACCACGTAAGTTCTCCTCTACCTACATGTCCCTGAATGTATCTGACCGCAGATCAGTGGAAGGGCTCCCTCATCGGCCACTCGAGCAGCAACACAAAGCAGGACGCCGGCACAATGCATGTGACATACCACCACAACAGCTTCATCAACGTCAACTCGCGCCTGCCTTCCATCCGCTTCGGCACCGGCCACATCTACAGCTCGTGCTACCTCGACAATCCGACATCAGGCGTCAACTCGCGCGAGAACGCGCAAGTCCTCGTCGAGTCGACGTACTTTGAGAACACGCGCCGCGCCATCGTCACGGACCTCGACGCGAAACTCGAGGGCTGGGCTGTCGAGCGGAACAATGTCTACGTCAACTCGGACATTGACATTACGCAAGTGGGCAGCTTTGTGGCACCGCCTTACAGTTATGATGTCGATGCTGCTAGTTGTGTGTGCGACTTGATCGAGAGCCAGGCTGGAACTGGAGTCGTTGGCTGATCGTCGACAAGATACTATGGTCTAGTTCAGCGTGGAGTGCGATGGGAAGATGATGTGGAATATGAATTTCTAGTGGATATACAATATACATCATTCATCTTCAACAAGTTTCTAAACCTCTCATCATGATAATTATGGTTCGTAACATCGGCGAGAGAAAGCGAAACAACTTGGCATGACGAGGAAGGGTGCCAACAGGTTAGGTGTGGTCTTGGCCTAGGTCCTGAACCACAGCTTGAAAACGCACTTGGCGATGGCCAAAGTAATCAGAGGTAACATCTAGCGTATCGCACACGTTTGCCCAAGACCTTCATACGCCTTATGAGGTGTTCTCTGGTAATCGTTTTTGTGAAAGACCACTCCGCCTTACATTAAAGCAACCAACACAGGTCGCATCATTACACGCCGTCGCTTGCAGTGCAGAACTATTGAACTTCATCTCCAACATCCACAATGCCTGACACAGCATCTGCAGATAAGGGATTCTACAGGAACAAGAAGAACGCCATAGTCATGACAATCGCGGCAGACACCCGGGGCACCAACGTCGCAGCAGCGCCATACTTAGCCCAGGTCTGGCAGTCGCCAAAGTCGTACTTGAGGTATGGGCGCAGCTTGATGCTCTTGATGGAGTGGGGGACGGACTCGCACCGGCCAGTCTCGCCAGTCTGGCAACTGGTCTCGTACCACGGAAATTCTTCGACGTCGTCTCTCTGGCACTCGTTGTTCGCGCCATAGGTGTCGAGAACCCAGCGACCGTCCTTGCCTTCTTCAGACTTGCCGTCGGAGGACTGGTTGCGCTGCTCGAACCAAATGACGGACCAATTCTTAGCTGGGTCGTAGTCAATTGAGTCGCTCGTGATGGACCACTCAATGCCCGGCAGTGGCAGCCTGTCCACATCAACGCCGTTGCCGTAGGTGATCCGTTCAGAAACCGTGTCGTTGATGAATCCCATCCGCCGGTTACCTCCGAATATCTCTTCGACGTCAATGCAGGTTTCGTGTCGGGGTATCGTCTCGGTGGTCAGGGTGATGCCCCCCTGTCCGCCTCTTCCGCAGCTGTCTCCCGCATCAGAAGGGTAGAGTGTGAACGTGAAGTTGGTGTTGGTGTCCCTGAATACCTGATTAGCTACTTGCCAGTGGTGATTTGACATGAGAACCCACCACTGTGCGAGGGCAGACAAGGGTGCAATGGCAAGTAGAATTGTCGATGTTTGCAGCATCTTGGTAATACGTGTTGTAGATGTAATAACAGCCGTGGAAGATGTTACACTGGAACCAATTCTTTTGAACAGAGGGTGAGCAATAAAGCACTGTCATTATTATAGAGAGGATATAGTAGTACCCGCGCGATGACTGGAGTATCTGACCAATTTGCCTGCAAAATACAGTGTGATCGCCTTCCGGCACGATTCCAATGGCTTATGTTTTTTTAGCCAAGGATGGCTAACAAGACGTCATATGGCACCCCACATCCCTTGAACACCAAACCTCGGGTGAAGATCTACCCTTCGCTGCGGGCGATCGCACAGGGGACGTGGACCAAGAATGGCCATCGCGACTGAGATTGACGTAACTGGGGCATGAATCACTTGAGGCTCTGACCGCCATCCGAATCCTTCATCCTTTTAGGGCCACAGCTGGCTGCGGCACAGCGAGTGTCCACCACGACCTTGAATCACACATCCTTGTTCTGAGGTTCAATCATCCCGTTTGGGTAGCATTCTGCATTATGTGACGCTGCATCTTGTGCAGTGTAAGCCTAAAATAGCAATCCCCTTCAGAATGGCTCTGGCTTGAGCAAACTATCGCTATTGCATAGCAAGTATTTTGGAAGCCCCCGTCTGTAATCGGAATAATGCTTACACGACCGTCGTGAACACTTGCAACCCCCCTTTGCTTCGCCATTTCACCTCGACTTCCGGCGCAATGAAAAAGATAAACCCTTCCTTCACATCAAACCCCTGGCCATCGCCCTCGAGGACGCCCTCGCCCTTGGTAACAATCGCAACGCCAGGGCCCTGGCCCTTTGAAATGACCTCCTCATCGGTTTCCTGCAGGTTCGTCAAGAGCATGTCAAATTCCCTGAGCGGGGGCCTGTAAAGGAGCGTCTTGCGATTTGTGCCGCGCTCGCTTCGCTTCGCTGGAAGAACTGCATCCGACGGGCGGTGCACAGCAAACGTCAGCGCATCGCTGAACAAGTCGATGTTGTCCCGATCGCCCTTGGGACAGAAGCCCGTGTTGAGCACATTGTTGCTCCGTGCCATGCACTCCACAATGTCGCCGGAGAGGTAAGCATGGATGCCGTCGGCCGGGATGAACAACGCCTCGCCGGCCTTGAGCTTCATAAAATTCATGCAGACGACCGCCACGAGGATGCCGGGATCCTGCGCGCCAAAGTCCCGCTTTAGCCGGGGCAACAGATCGAGGATGTACTTGTTCTCGCCGAGGTCGTCGCGTGAGAGCTGCGCCAGGGCGTCTTGTGCCGCAACAACCTTGTCGTCATTCGCGAGGAGAATCGCGCGCGTAGCTTCACGCAGAGTTGACTGCGTCCACGGAGAGGTGGCGTTGGGGATGAAGGCGCGGAGGGCTGGGATGTTGAAGAGCGGGGCAATCAGCTTGGTCGGCTTCCAGCCGGCGAAGACCTCAAAATCAGATAGTGCGATGGCGATCTCGGGCTTGTGATTGGGGTCGGTGAACTTTTGGGGGTCTTCTTTGTGGAGCTTGGCCGCCAGCTCCTTGTTCGGATGCATCTGTAGGGGAAGGGCTTTGTTGATAGAGAGAATCTTTGGATGTCAGGACGGATTTGCCTTACAGAGGGGAGGGAAGTCTTACTTTGGGGAGGTAGGGCAGTTGTCTGTTGAGTTCTTTGTTGACCTTGTCCCCCAATAAAGTCATATTATTTTTTTGGAGGACATCTGCCAGAAGCTCTCCTGTGGAGAGAACACGGACAGGAAAGTCTGGGTAGTCGCCGAACCACATCTCTGAGTAGTGTTGATCACCGTCAATCTCAAAATCTGTATTCGGCGTATTGGCACAGAGGCGGGCAGCGAGGGAGTCTCTCCCCTTTTTGCCCCAATCGTAATTGTTGCATGTGCCGCTAAGCTGAAAGATACGGTCTGTGGACGGCATGATGAGTGTCTTTGGATGGAAAAAGGCGGAATGCAAAAGTGGCCGGCTGAATGAAAGGCCGTGGTACTGTTTGATAGTCTCTGGGAGAGGATGTTCGGATGAACCTTGACGATGGCTTTCTCTCACAGCAGCAGGAGCTGTTAAATGTCTACGCAATCTTCCAGGAGCCTGCTTGTCTTCGCGCGACCATGATTTCCTCAGTTCACGTCACACTCCGTCATTGACGTCTGGGCATAGGCAGCGGGCTCGGGGCCCAGTTCCTCAGTCTCGGCGGGGCCGGCCCCACAGCACTGGAGCCGGGCCGGACTTGACTCTCCGGGCCACTCATCGGCACGCGCAGCACGCACCTCTTGCAAAATCACGATGACGGAATAAACATTACATTAAGAACTAGAATATCTCATCTCATGGCCTCCATCTTATCAGAAGCTGTAGCAAACATCCCACAATGGCACCCTGACATTGTACAGATCCCGCTGCCAGAACTTGGTCGCGAACGCCGAAACGTTGAAGTAAAAGTCCGACGCAAACTCAACACCGTTCGTCTCGGCGCATACGAGACCGTCCTTGGGAACCTCAAAGCCCGCGTCAATCTGCGCACCTGTGCCTCCGACCCAGGCATCCTGTTCACCGCGCAGCTTGAACTTGTTGGCAATGCCAGGCGAAGCGGTGACGCGCTGGACAGGTCGACGAGGCCACCGAGAAGCTTGAAGGCCAGCTGGACTGTGACATCGGCACCAACATCGAGGCGCACATCGGCAGCCTGGGAGATGTTGGCGTAGCTGTTGTATTGAGGCTCCCAGCCAGAAGTGCCGGACTTGGAGCCGTCGAGAAGGTCGACATGCACGTTGCCGGCGGGAATGTTGACGTCGACACCAGCATGAAGACCGACGGCCGCAGTGGCCTCAACGTCAAGAGCGAGGCCAAATGCAATACCTGGGCCGAGAGAGACGATGCCGGGAACCTCGACGAGAGACCACGCTAGAACATCCGGTGAGTAGCGGATGGTCTCGGCAAAGGATGCTCTGATTTCGGCCGAGACAGCGGCGGAGGAAGCAAAGTTGGCATCAAGATCAAAGTAAAGGTGCTCAAGGCGGAATCTCCAGAAGTTGTACTTGAGGTATCCCGAGAACGTGATGGTGGACTGGAACCAGGCCTCTTCGGCAGTGACGTCAATGTACTGACCGTCAGAGAAGAGCACAGTGTTCTCAGGCAGACCCTCTGCGAAGCTAAGCGAGATGCTGGGGTCCAGAACGAGACGTCGGGTTAGAGATGCGGCAGGGAGAGATGTGAAGGCCATCTCGCAAGATTCTGAAAAGGCGTCAGCAGCATGTCACGAGACATGAAAGCAATTCACTGACCTGCGATGCTGGCAAGTTCCTTCCTGGATGCCTTAACAGTGACAGCCAGCTTTTCAGCATTGGATGACACGCCGGACGCGAGGAAGAAGCCGCGCTCAAGGGCTGCGTTGCAGTTACCCATGTGGTTGGTGATGAGGACAAATGCCTCATCGTCGCTCCAGTCCTTAACAGCCTCGTTGAACCCTTCGAGATTCTCAAACAAAACTGTGACTGTAAGGTTGTTGCAGATGACGTTGCTGATAGAATCAATGTGTTCCAGAACGACAGTAGGGTTGTTCATGGTCAGGTTCATGCCGATGAAGCCCGGCTCCTCCTCATCCGAGGACGAATAGTAGAGCGAAACATTCTGCGCAGGCACAATGTTGATAGGGTCGCTGCGGTCGATGCCTGGAGCCGAGCAGGGGCCAAAAGTGTGCGTTGTGTTGTCAGGGTGAGTGTCGGGCTTGGGAGGCTCGATAAAAGGACCCTCAGTAGGGAAATCGGTAGGCTTCGTCGGCACAGTATGCGCGGTTGCAGTGGGCTTGACATTAAGCTTGGAGAAAACAGGCGTGGGAGTAGATAAAAAAGAAGACTGAGTCGATTGGGGATCGGGCATCTCAACCACGATATAAGTAACCCTTTGGGTCTCCGGCGAACACTGGCAGTCCTCGGCTCTGACTAGACTACTGGAGACGAGGAGAACGGCGGCAGAAAGCCATGAAAGGGCGAAGCGCGTCATGGTCAGCCCGAAGAAAAAGATATAAAATGAATGTGTTGCTTGGGAAAGAAGAAAACAAGGATAGGACGCTCACGATAGAGAGCTGATGTTCAGAGAGTGACGACAAGACGACCGCGACTGGTGCCGGGCTAGAATCATTATCACAAAGGTGCCGGCATGGCGGGAGCTTAGATATAAGAGACAATGGGACAAGGACCTGTGCCGAGACATGTCAACGCCACGGGGGGAACTAGTGACGGCAACCATCGCGAGCACCTGCAGGGCCGGCTGTCGGCCGAAGGGCTGAGGCGATAACGGCGCGATCAGATCCTCAATTGCGCTTTCGATATGCTTCATTTTGCTCAGGCCCCCCCTCTGTCGTGCCGTTGGACAACGGCCTAGGCTCAATTAATGAGGTGACGCGTGTGTCCAGCGAATGAGAGTACGCGATGGCTCGCTATGGCCCGCCATAGTGGTAGGGCACCTTCAGGTGAGTGTGCCGAATGGGCGGCTTGGAAGGCAAGTTGGGGATGACATCCGATTGAGGGTGGATTATTGGACCCTTTTCGTTCAGATCATCGCAAGGATGTAGCGTTTGTCATGCCATTGCCCCCCAGTATATGGACTAATCGGGCAGCAGGTCAGGGGGTGCATCAGAGGACCTTCACTGCACATGAATCGCGTATCGCATGTGACAGGAATTTGAAGGGAACAACGGCGGACCTTGATATGGTATGCGGGGTCATCGACCACTGAGGTTCGTTGACGAACAAGTAATCTTGTTCATACTGCCACGGTTGGACGGCGTGCTGGCAGATCGCTGGCGCTGAGAGGTTATAGTTGGATAAGCATGGAAGAGAGACACGGTCGGTCAGCGACGGCGATGTCGAGGCCTTGTAGAACGTGATGTCTATGCGCATGCTTGGCAAAGTTGACGAGATCTGCCTAACAAATGTTTCTTGCAAAATACACCAATAAATGCAACAAAACGGCCTTCCCTCGTGCTTCTAACCCGTAGCCCCCCCGCCCCTTGTCCTTCTTCGGATCCGATGCCCAGATCCAATTTCAACGCATTCATTCTCGTTTATAAACGGGAACGAAAGGACACAGCTCATGGATCCGCTAAACCATCGTAACATGGCCCATATGTGACATGCCACCGCCGCTTTTCGATAAGACGGTCAAGCGTGACAAGTAGTTTGCTGTCCTGTCGCGCAACCAAAAGTCCGCCATGTTTTAGCTTTGCGCTCTGGGTAATTGCAACAGTGAAAGTTCTCGCCTCGGCGTACTCGGCGTGCTCGACGCGTCCAGATGCACTCTCTCGGCTCCTCTCAAAGTCAGGCACCAAGGTCAGCTGGTCATGACCGCCCAGGGGGGATGGAGTCTCTTGCAAGCCTTCGTTGTGGCAACGAGTCAGTCAATCAGGACTTCCGGCCGTACGGCACCAAATATCTTAGCATTCGGTCTTGGTCTACGCGAAAGGACATTGCGGCAGGGCACCGCCAGGACTGACTGTGTTTTCGGGGTCACCAGAGTGTTTATGTAGCTAGTTTACTGGAGAGCCTCAAATGTATCGACAGCAGGGTCGCCGTGGCGCTTTAAACTTATGTTGTCTTCTCGAACCGTATCCTATACCACGAATTTGCCACGAAGACGAGGCAGATCAACTGAACACCGCGAGTCAGAGTGAGTTTCTTCGGCATGTTGCATAAAGTGCCTTTTTCCTTTCCAGGAATGCTCTTGGGCGTGGCGGATCTTGATGCGCGGTCGTTAGGATCCATGTCCGATGTCCGAAGCTCGAGAAGGTGCTCGGCGAAATATGACTTGATTTCGGCCTCTCCGAGGACAAGCATCATTTAATAAGTCACTGCAAGCTGCTTCGGGACGCTTTCAGGTCATTGACTCAGCAGAGGCTTCCCATGGTGGGATAGGAGATGGGATGCGCAGAAGATAGACAAGGTCTCCCGGATGTTGAAAATCTAAGCCTCGGAACAAATTCAACTTTCCATGTAAACAACGAACTCGTATTAGTAAATATCAAGTGGATTTAAGTCACGAACTCCCGCAACGGCCACAAGCCGCTGACTGTGTCTATGGTGAAGCTGTGGCCCAGAGCAAGGAAGCCAAGTGAGGGATCATCAAGCTGATGGTCACCGCATTGGCTTATACCACACTGCTCCGATTTGGATGCAAACCTGAAGCAGGGCTCGCACAGATTTGAATGTTCTGCATCCCCTGTCGCCAGAGTAGCTGCGTCAGCCGCACGTTCATGAACTAGTGTTGATGCGATCAATTGTGTTGTGGACTATACCGAGTATGCAGGATGTCGAGGCTTTGTATCGCGAGCCTACAGACATGACCGAGACTGCTTGGACAGGTGAGGCCACTATTTCCTCGCGTTTCGGCGCAAAATGGATGTTCATCTGTTGTCTTCCAAGAGAGCCAGGATGGCTTTTTGGCGTAAACGGAACGTTGGGGTTGGGTTTCCTCGCGTATTTGCGATGCTCAACATGCGGGCTTCGATCTTTTTCGGTCGAATTTGCCGGATCGTTCGAATATTGCATGTTCATGTCGTGCAGACTTTGTTCAAGCTCAACCACCTCGTCTATATCATCGTCGGGGTCCGAGAGACAATCATATTCAGTCTCTGGATCACTCTCAGGGTAGTCGATCATAGGGGCATCTGTGTCAAAACCGTCTTCATTTTCGAATGCTTCGGAGGCAATCTCACGTTGTCGTTGTTTCTGCTCCCAGATCTGTGCGCGCATCTCAAGTTGGCGGAAGCTTTCGTCGTCATCGCTTGCTGTAGGTATCGCAATCTCGTCTTGTAGACGGTACCTCTTGACGGTCCTCGCGCTATGCAAGTCCAAAGATGGTGGTCTCTTCATCGTTATCAATTTGCGGGGCACTCGGTTTTGGATACAACTGCGATTTGCTATGTTGAGGTTCGGTGTCTCGGCTATTCAATCTGGCCTAGAGGTCGGAAAACATGTATTTGTTTTTTTGAGCTCACACAAAGCTGTCCAGGCAGCAAACCCAGCCCAGCCTGGCACTCTCTGTGATATTCTGGAAAGACTAATAGCTCTTTTCGACTTGATGGATTCAACAAAGCACAATTCAGTACATCAAGGAGCGCTTATTGCTGGTCTAAGCCGGGTATCTAGCGAGCCTAGGCCGGTCAAAGAAACGTTTCGGCTCGGGCGGCAAGCGGTGCAATCCTGGTTACTATGTCCTTGTTCGCACTGATGGCGAGTAGCCTATCACTGAACCAGCAATTACTGCTACAGCCGTCACTAGCACCACCAGCGTGTCGTTGCCGCCGCTAGTGCTGCCACAACCGTGGCTCCGGAAACTCACACTTGCCTATATGTCAACTACTTCACATGCATTCGAACTATCTGTCGCATAACCAGCACCACCCTGAAGCTCTACAGGCGAGTGTAAAAGTGATCATCAAGACGAAGAGCTGAAGTAAAAGCCCATTTCACATCCCAGCGTCAAAAACAAATATGCTCCCGGCGTGGTGTCGTATCCGGCTCACCCTCGGATATCCAGTACCCAAGACTTGGTATGCATTTGTCCGCATTTCCCTCTGTTGGCACCTGCAATGGTGGGCGCGGATAGTTGCCAACGCTGCGCCATTGCGTTTCTGGCTCGTCCAACAGTCGGCCCCCTTCCCTCTTTCCCACGCTGTCGAAACATCGCCATGGAGACTGCCAAAGAGGCTTTCCATCCTTGTCCTCTCTCAGCTCGAGAGAATGCTGCGCTTTGAGGGTGACTGTGTGGCCCGTATAGGTAGAATAGAGGTACTGTGGTATCTCTACCCTCATGTTGAGGTGGGGTTCCATCGACAGGTAGAACTCGTCGATCATGCGCAGCGGTGATCCTTTGCCGTCAAAAAAGGTGTGAGGAGGACTTCGAGGCGAGCCCTGTAGAGAGATGCACAAGCTTCTAAGACGGTGTCGGCAGTATGCAACAACATGTTCGAGTATCACGGCAAGATGACTGAAGTCCTGGCGGACGGCGCGCTGGCCTTCATTGACTTCACGTGCCTTGATGAGGAGCTCCAGAGATGTAATGCTTTCCAGCCGCTGCGGTACAAGTAGCTCGGGTAAATGAAGCATCAAGACCTCGCTTCTCAACATGATGATATTGGTACCGTAGAGGATATCGATTGTCTCGAAGTAACTGTGGTGCATTGAGTAATTCAGCGAGCGCATCATCTACAAACTTCGGGATACTCACGCCTGTCTACAGCTTACGAGAAACCCCATTATGCCGATCTCGCGGTTGTGCGGCGACAGGCTCTCATAACAGTTACAAAATCCACCATCACTCGGCATAAAGTTGTCAAACCAAGGGCCTCGCCAGACGAACCGCTGAGCCATGCCGGTTGGCGGGAGGTCCGGGTGATTCCGGTGACAGACGCAGCCCTCCCAGCGCCATGGATTGTTACTTGCGACATTATTTTGGGGGCACAACACTGGCCTGTTCGTTTTGCATTTCCGTCCATTGCATTTCTTGTGTTCCGTCAATGGTCCAAAAGGATTGGCTTCGTCGTAGATGAGATCCACGTGAAGCGTCCGTTCGCCGAAAGCTGCCACGAAGATGTTCTGTCGAATATCGGCGGGCAGCTTTGTGAAAAGTAAGCTGGTCGAAGGTTGGTTCTGGATCTCGACACGGGAGATTGATCGACGGCATGGTAGTGTTGGGTAGAGCGGCTGATCAGCAGTTCGTTTATGTGGTTCTGAGCCGACCAAATTTTTCCTTGGCCATACACTAAACCGAAAGTTTACCATTGCACGTTACAAATTTTGCCCGATCGCTTGCGGAAAGACAATACTGGTTGGACCGACTGATGGCAGACGCCCTTGGTATAAACGAACAAGGGGTGGTCGCGAGCAAGCCACTTTGGTTGACTAGGTACTTGTGAGAGCGAGAGGATGAGAAGAGGTTATCCGCAGGCAATTTCCGCAGTCCGTTATTAAGTAGGCTTGGTAGGGCGTTAGAACACACCTGAACGCTAGCTCTCTGTGGAGACGAGGGCCTTTCGCTGCTCTTATATAAGCGCTCCCCTGATCTCAGCCCCTAGACCAGGCCTCTGACACCCCCTGTTCCCTGGCTTCACAGATGCCTCCTGACAGCAGGATACCTCACCATAATATCACGCTAACACCACCACCGTCACCAGATCGCTTGGATACGTAGTCATCGCTTCTCGTTGTGCACGAGTTCTTTGTATCTATATTATTGCCGACGACTGCGCCATGGGATCTCTGTCGGCTCCCCGCTTACAAATATATTCGTCTTCGAGTTGGAACAGTGAGTAGTGGCCTTCACTTGGTCGATGGCGCTCAAATGGTGCCAGGTAGCCAATGTGTCCAGTGCGTCTCTTGGTTACAGACACATCTGCACTGTAGATCAAGGCAGCCAGCTACAAAATACAGCAACAGAATACATGCATCTTTTCGGCACTTGATCCCCTCCCATTGAAACAGCGTCGGCGCCAACAGGGCACCCTTATCAAAATTACCGCCCTGCTGGAAATGGTTGTGCGGTGGAATGAACACCTCAAGAAAGCTGTCAAGACGAACTCAAACAAAGAAATATTATTGCGGAGCCTTCAATTGCATGGGAGGTGGTCCACCTTCACTTGGCATGATCGAGTGCACGTCTTTAGCCAAACGATGACACGCATTCATTCAAAGCACGTGCCCAAATGCGAGGTGTTGTGCGCAGCGCAAGTAAAAGTTTCAGGCAAAGACGTCGCTGCCTCCCCGCTTCGTCGACAACAGACACTGCTTGCGTTGACTAGGCCTTCAACGTAAAATTATCGACTCGAAATACGTCCAAGTGACGGTAACATCAGGAGGCATGTTGGCTGCCCAGTAGTTTGGAGTATTTTGAGAAGACCAGGATTGATCAGGCAGCCAAAAGGCGCTCCGTCGTTAAAGCTGTCTATCAACACTCCACATGGTGCTCAAAACACAGTCGTATTTCCCACGAGCATGCCACAACTACATCGCTTCTTTTCAACAAGTCATGTCCACATTATGCACGTCCCACATTTCACATCCGCCTTGACGCAGCAACGTCTTCAACAATCTACCACTTGGCCTCCTTGCTCTCGGTAAAGGCCTTGAGGATGGCAACAATCTTCTCGAGGGCGGCGAGGTAGGTGCGCAGGTCGGAGGCGACCTTGGCCTCGTCGGAGCCGAGCTTGGCGTAGAAATCCTTGCGGTAGGGCGTGGCGCTCATGGCGGCGCTGAAGATGGGCTTGACGATGAAGGAGTGGTGGGGCTTGAGGGTGTTGCTGTAGGCGGCGCGGAACGAGTCGGCAAGCTCTTCGGAGGGGTTGGCAACGTTCTTAGAGAGGGCGATGGAGGTGAACTCGAGGCCGCTGTGTGCGTGTTAGCTTTGTTCCTTCCCCCCTTGCTCCTTTCCATGTTTTCAGTGACCGTTGGGAGGGAGCGGCGTACCGGGTCAGCCAGAGGAGACCCTCGGCGGCGACGTGCTTCTTGGAGGCAATTTCGGCGCGGACGAGGGACTGGAGGTCGAGGGACTCGGCGGGGGCGGCGAGGAGGCGGTCGCGGATTTTCTGGAGAGTCAAAACGGTTAACTTGAGCTGGCTGGAGGCTGCATTGTTGGCTGCCTCGTATCTGGGATGGGATGCACGTACCTTGACGTTACCGAGCATGTCAGACTTGACGGGGGAGAAGGCGACGGAGCCGAGAACATCTGCGAAAGGGTCAGCATGGTAATCTGAGACCGACGGAGTGGTTCGAACAAGAGAAACGCACCAAAGATGGTGGTCAGAGACTCGGTGGCCTCAAGGAACTCGGCGGTGGCAATGGCATTGTTCTTGTCGGCATCAACTGGGACGTCGACGAAGGACTTCTTGAAGGTGTCGACGATGGTACCGCCGGGGGGGATCGTGATGGCAGACATGATGGCGGCTGGTGATTGTTTGTCTTGGTTCGGGAAGTGTTGTCGAGTATGGAAGAATCAAGATGAGGTTGCAATGGAGGGAATCATGGAGCGGTCAAGCTCGGAGGGATGGTCGAGACCGAGACGTTGGAGGGGTCGAGGAGTAGCTGCGGCAATGTGGGGTCGATTGCGTTGTCAGGGATACACAGTGCGCGTGTCGACTATTAATCGAGGTGAACCGCCTGAATTACAGTGTTCAAGATCTATTGGGACGGTCCATGAGGGTACGCTTCGCGGAGGAGGGTCCCTGACTTCCGGGCCAATGGTGGGCACACCATCACTGATGGCGGGGCACCTCGAGATAGTCTGGAGCTGCCCCTCACCAGCAATTCCAGTAGCACCTCATCGTGGCACGAAGCAAATCGCCATCCTCATCATGGTCGCGCATAGTACATCCTTATCGCGTAGTGATTCCTAGCCGCCAACCAGACCAATGGCTCTTGAAGCCGCTCGCCCGCATAATGTCAGAACCAAGCTGAACTATTACCATGACCCTGGCGATGGATCTCCGCCGGTTCCTGTTCTTGTTGGGGGGTAATGCATCCCTGAACCATGAAACAGAGCCTCTCTGACAGCCCTCCTGCAGAAACAAGGTTACCAATGAAAGGCCCACCGTACCTTTCGAGGTGCAGGTTATTGACGTTTCTGGCAACGAGGATCGTTACAGCCTCAATAGCCATGGGTTTCAGTATCTCAAGCACGAGAGCCAGGAAAAGGACTTTACAGATGTGGCGGCACTGAAAGGTGCATACTACGCCGAGATGGAACAGCTCTACAAAGACCTGTAGGTGTATCGATGCAGAAAGTCGTCGGGAAACTTCACTGACATGACCAGCACCGGGGCCACCCGCGTCCACATTTTTGGGCATCAAGTACGCCGTGGCCCGTCCAATTGGCACTCTCTCGGTGAAGGCAACGCCGCAAAGAAAGGGCCTCTGCATCGAGTCCACGTTGACCAGTCCACAGACGGCGCAGAGCTGGTCCTCCGCAAACACATGCCCGCTGCCGAGGCCGACGAGCTGTTGCGGCGCCGCTATCAAATCGTGAACGTGTGGAGGCCCATCAGGACGGTGTTCAAGGACCCGCTGGCTGTGGCGGAAGCGCATTCGGTGGCTGATGAGGACCTCGTTGCGGCGCAGGTGCTGTACCAGGACGGATCTCGAAACGAGACGTGGGCCGTGCTGCCGTCAGCGAGACACCAGTGGTACTTCAAGTACGGAATGACGCCGGACGACGTGCTGCTGATCAAGTGTTTCGATTCGAATGTTGAGGATGGGTTGGCTAGGAGGGTGCCACATTGCGCATTCGAGGATCCGGGAGAGTTGGAGAGGGAGGACAGACAGAGTGTCGAGGTGAGAGCGCTGTTGTTTTACTGAAGGCCAAACCATCATTCGTGGTTCCAGACGCAGCGCGCCGACACTTCGAAGGAACAACACAGAGAAACCAGGAAGGAACGACAATTTGTTCAAGATGCATCAGGTCTAGCATGTGCCAATAGATACCGATCGTTGTAAGCCGTTCCGAGATTGTCGCCGCTGCCAACTAAAGGGCATCGTGCCCAGCAGGCAGACATGATGAACTAAAAAAAGGCAGGCTTGCACTGCACTCGTAGCACCTGCCCACAACGTGTGTTCTCACTCCTCACGCGGGCAGGAGCTGGCCTGTGATCGTATCTGCACTTGCAGCAGCTGAAGGTTGTGTCAACGGTCGGCAAATCGGCATGGAGGATTTGCGCCGATGACGTCAGTGCGGGAGCTAAAGCCCAAGCCAATTCCCGCCTTGCTACTGCCATCTCTGTCGTGCATCATCGCTGCCCCTCATTCCCTAGGATCAACCTAACCCCCGACTGGCTGTTCGATGAGAAGCAAAAGCAAGCGACGCTCAGCCTGGCCAGAGCTGCCTCCAGATTGCCTGCCCGCATCTGCTTGGGCCGGCGCGGATTCCATTTCTCTGGGATCTTCCTGCCCCGCGAACGCGCGGCCGCGACAGCCGATCGCGAGCCATGACAAGGCCTAGATCCATCTTGGCTGCCCTCACTTTTCTCGCGTGCGCGCGTTTGACACCAACCGCATTGATCTTGGCTCATGTCTTCCTCTGACTATGCCTGAACATATCCAAGCCATGTCTGTCTCCATCTCAGGAGAATTGGCTCGAAATGGACACACCCCGCTCTCGTCTTGTCTTATCCGTACCAAGCATAACTACCCACGCCCACGTTACCACCCCCTCATCTCCCCTAAACCACATGGGTTCCGGCCCTGTTTTTCGTGCGCTTGGCTGATCACGCCGTCGGATGACATCGCCTCTGGCTCGCTCAAGCTTTCTTTTAGTTCCGCCCAGCCCGTCTCTTCCTCTTCTTTTTCGAGTCAAGCCTTCCGTTCTACTTGTCGCTCGCCGTTCGCCGTCTTGGAAATCTCAAGTCCTCGCTTCCACCTTGCGCGACTCGTGATACCCAGATACCAAGGCACACGACACATGTTTTCGTGACGAGATTTCAACAACGCTATAGAGAGGCCACTCCACACACTGGCCCTCCCTAGACCTTACGAGCGACGCAGCCATGCCTTCCACCAACGACGAGAATAAGAAGAAGGTCGAAAGCGGAAGCGGCACCAGCTTGAAGGACAAGCTCAAGGCGCCGTTCCAGAAACTCGAGGAGAAGCTCGAGGGCACCCACCTGCATGATGCGAAGATCCACATCACCCACAAGAAGCACCAAATTGGCAAATTCGCCAACCTCGTAAGTTCCGGCTGCCCGTCTTGAAAGCCTGGGCATTGCGCGTCCCCAGAGCTTGGTTGAGCTTGTCTCTGTCCCCACGAGCTTGCTTGCAGCACACCATGACGACCGGCTTACCTGTTCCAGTTCAACCGCAACCACCGCCACGACGAGGAGCACGAACAAGCCACCGACGACAAGCGCCAGAAGATCCGCGACGAACACCGATATGATTCATTCTTTCCCGAACGCGACGGCAATATCATTAAGTGGTATGTCGATGGCCGCGACTACTTCTGGGCCGTGTCGGAGGCTCTCGAGGCTGCTCAAGAGACCATCTACATCTGTGATTGGTGGCTGTCCCCTGAGCTCTTCCTGCGCCGTCCCCCGCATGACAACCAGCAATGGAGGCTGGATCAGGTCCTGAAACGACGCGCCGAGGCTGGTGTCAAGATCTACGTTACCGTCTATCGTGAAGTGGAGGCGGCCCTGACATGCAACTCGGCCCACACAAAGCACGCACTCCACGGCCTGTGTCCCGAGGGTTCGCCAGGCTATGGCAACATTAAGGTCATGCGACACCCAGACCACAACGTGTTGGAAAATGCAGCCGATATGACTCTGTACTGGGCTCACCACGAGAAATTCATCGTCATTGACTACCGCATGGCTTTCATCGGCGGGTTGGACCTCTGCTTCGGCCGCTGGGATACGCAGACCCACGCGCTAGCCGATGTGCATCCCGAGGGTGTAAAAAATGAAGTGTGGCCTGGCCAGGATTTCAACAACAACCGTGTGATGGACTTCAAGAATGTTGACGACTGGAAGCAGAACGAGCTGAGCAAGACACGCTACGGCCGAATGCCGTGGCACGATGTCTCCATGGGTGTCATTGGACCTTGTGTTTACGACATTGCGGAGCACTTTGTCCTGCGGTGGAACTTCATCAAGCGCGATAAGTACAAACGTGACGACCGATACGACTGGATCCAGCTGGCTGGACGGACGGGCGAGGATGAGGATCTCGTAGGAGTGCAACGGCCTAAGCACCCGGTTGGTGAATACCTCATGCACCCTCTGACACCTCTCGAGACGAAGAACCTTGAGAATCGTGGTACTGTTCATGCGCAGATCGTGCGATCCAGCGACGATTGGTCCTCGGGTATTCTGCTGGACCACTCGATCCAGAACGCCTACTCGAAGACGATTCTCGAGGCTGAGCATTACGTCTACATCGAGAACCAGTTCTTCATCACGGCCACCGGAGAGCACCAATCCCCGGTCCACAACACGATTGGCCTCGCCATTGTTCAGGCTGTGCTTCGAGCGGCGGAGGAGAAGCGCAAGTTCCGTATCATTGTCTGTCTTCCTGCGATCCCTGGATTCGCAGGCGACCTCCGTGACGAGGCGGCCATGGGTACCCGAGCCATTATGGACTACCAATACAAATCAATCTGTCGCGGCGAGCACTCGATCTTCGAACAGATCAAGGCTAAGGGCGTGAACCCTCGGGAGTACATCTTCTTCTTCAACCTCCGTTCCTACGACCGTCTAGTCACGACTCCAGCGCTTCTAGAGCAGGAGAAGAAGACGGGCGTTTCGTATCAGCAGGTGCAGCGTGCTGAGGCCGAGGAGATCATGGCCGAAGGTATCCACGGTGCCGTGGACCCGACTGGCCACGGAGAGCGAGACGAGCACATGGGCAGCGCGCAAGATCAAGACCCCAACTTGGCGACACCCGAAGTGGAGAAGGCTCTCGATGCGAAGCAGCGATTTGAGGCGGCCATGCCCGAGGGTAAGCTGACAGCCGCACCGTCCTTAGCGCATCATGCCATGGCTGGCAACGAGCGATCACTTTTGGACGAGCCTTGGGACGATGAGGATCTCGAGACCGAGATCCAGAACTGGGTGCAGGAGGAATTGTACATCCACTCGAAACTGCTCATCGCCGACGATCGGATCGTCATTTGCGGATCAAGCAACCTCAACGACCGTTCGCAGCTAGGTCTTCACGACAGTGAGCTCAGCATTGTCATGAAAGACAGGGCACAGTTCACAAGCACGATGAATGGTCAGCCATTTGAAGCTGGCGTACATGCGGGCACGCTGCGACGGTATCTGTGGCGCGAGCACCTGGCCTGCTACCCGCACAGGGTCTCGACGAAACAGGCCTCCAGAACGCGCAGCCGCCCAGTGAGAAGTCGCCAAACGATCCTTTCGACCGGATGAGAGCTGGACATTGTGCCGATCCGCTGAGCGATGACCTTGGGAATGTGGACGTCGCAGGCAACGAAGTAACACGGACATTTACCGGCATGTGTTCCACGCGGACCCTGACGATCACAGTAAGTTGCGCTCCCTTGATGCTGGGGTTTTAGCGACGGATACTGACATTGGTGACAGTCAAAAACTTTGATGACTACGATCGGTACCTGCCGCCGAAGGGTATCAAATCCGGCCATGTCTACGACTTGTTCATGCCGGCAGAGGATGCGCGGAAGAAGATCGCGCAGATCAAAGGCCACCTGGTGTGGTTCCCGCTGGAGTTCCTCAGGGATGCGGAGATGGCCGAGACAGGATTGCAGGTGAACCAGTTCACTGAGAGTATTTATACCTAGATTATGCGCTTTATGTGGGTTGATGGGGGAATGCATCATGGTGAGTTGCATATGGGACGCCTCAGGTGGTGTGGTGGCGGCACCGCGATGGGCTTCATGACTGGCGTGTTTGGTGTTTTGGGGATCCTGTTTTCCATACCTTCTGCTTAAGTATTGGTATTGTTTCAACAAGCAGTGTCCCACTGACCCATCTGCGTGCTTCGCGTACTTTGATACGAATCTAGCGGTACCAACCCCGGCCATGGGGCGCACTTTGCGAGCCTGCCGACCAGCTCGGGCGTCGTTCGCAGACTGCACATTGCCGACGAGACCATGGACACGGTCTTGCCCTCGCTGGGCGAGGAGCCTAGACTTCCACTCGCGAGTCTCGAGACCCTGACCCATCTGGAACTGTGTTTGTCGGCGTGTGCGGAAATCCTCGAAGAGATCGACTACAATGCCATGCTCCGACTTTTGGCCACGGCGGCCAATCTGACGCACTTGACAGTTCGTTTTGAGCGCAGCGCGCGCCACTGGTGGGACCTAGGCTCGTTCCCGCACTTTCCGAGCGTGGTATCCATTGACTTTACCGGCGTCGTGGACGAGGCGGATGACTTTGTGGTCTCTCTGCGTAAACACGCCAGGGCACGACGGCGCGTGCGTCTCAAGGGGTGTTTCCTCGCCCCTGAGACGCTTCGTGATCCGGCAGCCATCCCGGATCTGCGTCTCAATCGATTTATCGTACTGCCCTGCAAGGGGGGCAATAAATGAGCTGACAGCTCAGGTGATACTGAGGGCTCGATTCTTCGCCACTGACCAACGTGGGAGATAGGCTACGTAATACGAACACATCCAGCCACCTTTGACGCAGAAGGCTGGGGCCACAGCTGCCGTCTGCGACTCCCGAGGAGGCTTTGGCTGGCGATAGCAAAGGCCAGCGACTCAGAGCCTTGGACCAAGACGCGGGCGACAAATGCCTCCACCAGGGCATGGGAGCAACGCTGGTAGACTTTTGCAAGGGTGAAGAGCTCGCTGCTTCGGGATTCAGGGGTGTTGTCACGAACGGTGGTACGCAAGCATCGTGTTGAATATCCAGCTAGACTGATATACTGCAGTAAAATGAATTACGTAGGTTCATTTGATACGCATGACTTGGAAAGGGTGACTACTCTCGAGCCATGATGTTGGACACTCACACATGTCAACAGGCAAGTCCAACTAGGAGACCGCGAACACGATCAGCGATAGAAGCGAGCTAGTCTTCCAGGATCCGGCAGAAAAAAAAAAGGTTGTTTATTCGAGTTGAGTATCAAAATATTAAGAATTTTTGATCAATGGGGTTTGATCGAAAGCGCAACCTGCAAATGTGCAAAAATGTAGTCCTACCGAGGATTGAACTCGGGACCTTTGCATATCATACTAGCGTGACCAGTAGGTATAACTATGTGGGGGTTAGCGGTGGCCTGTGACGGGGTAAAAGGGCTAAACTGACGAGCAACGTGATAACCACTACACCACAGGACTTTGGAAGTCGCCAACCGAACAGACTGGCTGTCCTATGGACTCCACTCCCCAATCCATCAACCAAAACTTTCCATTCACACCCGCCCATCTGCTTCTCAGGGCGTATACAAGGATCGAGATCCTTTCTTCAGCTACCTACTTCAGCCTGGATTGTTTTAATATTTTTTCAGAGCATAGTAATGGCGTTCCAGGAGATTTGGCACCATGGCTGTCTTTGCCGTCGATTTCGAGGATGGGACAATGCAGTGCCGAACTTGTGCACGCTGACAAGTTGTCTCAGGGTCATTGCTGTCAGAGTCCTGACAATATGCTGCAATCTACAAACGGCCATAGCACCTCCATCACAGAATGTAAACTGCCGAGCAGCGGTACAGGCGTGACGTGGCCATGCCCATGTCGAACCATCGCGGTCCTGTAGGGCTGTGAGGGCCCTGACGGTGCAGCGGGTAGGCGCCCCCTGACGAGTGCGCCTCCACTGCCGGCGGCCCCTGAACCGCCTGAACCGGGCTACTGTCGGCACTACACTTTGTGTGGCGTTCAAGGCTGCCAGAACGCAGCTTGTAAGCAAACCTGCCGTTGGCATCTCATTTGAAGCGTCCAACATCTACCATGGCCAGTTCCAGCACGGCTTGTGCATATCAATTGTTTTTACCGGCACTGTCATACAGCCGAGGGCAATCATTCGTCAGTGGCACCTGTCCGCACAAGACTTGTCTTGCCAAATCCCCAGTCCACCAGGTAGCGCCGAGCAAGGAAAATAACCTTCAACAGCCGCGATAGGAGGCGCCGAACCCCTTCACAGTGAAGCCAGCTATGCCAGAAGAAGCGCCTGGTACAACACTACCAGTGGTTGTAACTTTGATGCCTCGCAGCGTGCTTCTCGCGCTTCTCGCATCTACAGCAGCGCCCTCTGGTAATAGTGTGATCTGGCGGGGTCGACTTGGCAACCCCAGGTCCCCCCTGGCAGGTCCCCCAGCCTGCGAACAGCAAGGCCGGAGCATGCCGCTGGAAACTGGGACACCGCCGAGGGCCGCGCCCGATAAGCGGCGATAAGACCTAGAGGCACCACCAGCCAAGCTGAGTGGAGGTCTGTCAAAAAGGGTCATCCCCTCAAGCTTGTGATGAACGTCACACACACACCGTGGTGAGATGAACAAAGCTCTCAGAATCCGGCATCACGTCAGCATAGGGGCTTATCCTCGAACCTGACATCGAGGTTGTATTTGAGATCGTGGTCAGCTGATCGTCTTCCTGCCTTTTCAACTTCGACCTTGCAACACCACGCAACCCTTGTCTCAAAATGGCGGCCAACCAGAATCACGAATACACGGAGTGCAGCGTGCCTGCAGCAGCAATGGATCAGTACTTGGCGCAGCGCCAGCAGATGATCGACAAGGAGCATTCACTCAGGCATGGTGCGTGATCTCTGCATCTTCCACTCGTTTGGACGGTGCTGACACGAGACAGACCAAGCCTTCCGACAGAGGGCATCGCCTCTGGCCAAGAGGGCGGCGTGCATTGTACAGAATGTACGAGAGCGCGAGCTGAGAACAGTCTGGAAGCACGAGACGCGCCATGACATCTTTGGCGGCATGTCCTTCACTCGTGCGCGCGACACAATCCATCAGACGACCCTGTGGAAGATTGTACAAAGGCTGCCCAAGGGCTCCCTGCTCCATGCACATTTCGAAGCCATGGTCGACAGTAAGTGATCTCAGGGGATCACATCCACCAGAGGAGCAAACATGTTGACACACCCGGACAGTGCCGTGGCTCCTCGACGAGGCGTTCAAGTATCCTGGCCTCGCCATCTTCTCAGACAAACCCCTTGTCGACGAATCTGCCCGCGCGTCGGCATTCATCGAGTTTCAATACGTGCCAGATCTCGCCTCTGAAGTGGAACATCAACTTTTCGAGGCCGACTACGTCCCTGGTTCCTACGTCCCGCTCCGGCAGGCGGCTCGCGACTTTCCCGGCGGCGACGCAGCCTTCAAGGCCTACCTTCTTTCCCGCATCACCATCACCGATGAGGAGTCAACAGAATACCACTCCGGCATCGACGACGTGTGGCGAAAGTTTGCGTCAATCTTCCCCGTCCTTAACGGCATCGTCTTTTACGAGCCCATCTTCCGCACCATGCTGCGACGAACCCTCGAGCACCTCCTCCTCGACGGCATCCAGTACATTGACCTCAGAATCGCCTTCCTCTTCAAGTGGACGAGGCAGTCAGGCGAGCCGGGCAATCTTGAAGATCTCATCAGCACGTTCCAGGACGTTCTCGCGTCGTTCCAAGCCGCGCCAGAAGGCCACAAGCTCTGGGGCGGCAGGATCATCTGGACAACGCTGCGCAGCATGCCGCCCGCCGAAATCGAGACGTCGATGAAGCAGTGCATGGACCTGAAGAAGAAGTACCCCGACGTCATCGCCGGCTTCGACCTCGTCGGCCAGGAGGGCCTCGGCCACACGCTGCTGCACCACCTGCCCCAGCTGCTCTGGTTCCGCGCCGAGTGCGACCGCCAGGGCCTCGACCTGCCGTTCTTCTTCCACGCGGGCGAGGTGCTCGGCGACGGCGACGAGCACGACATGAACGTCGTCGACGCCGTGCTGCTCGGCACGAAGCGCATCGGCCACGGCTACTCGCTGCACAAGCACCCGGAGACGATGAGGCAGGTGCGCGAGCGGGACATCTGCGTCGAGGTCTGCCCCATCAGCAACGAGACGCTGCGCCTCAACGCGAGCATCATGGGCCATCCGCTGCCCGCCATGCTGGCGCATGGTGTGCCGACCGTGCTCGCCAATGACGATCCCGGCGTGCTCGGCCACGGCGTCACGGGGTCGAGCCACGACTTTTATCAGGTCATTCAGGCCTTCCAGAATGTCGGCCTCGAAGGCCTCGGCGATATCGCCGAGACGAGCGTCTGGTTTTCGGCCTTCCACGATGGCCAGGGCGGTCCGGAAGCCATCGGCTACGAGCAGGGCTCGCCTGGTGGAATGAGGCGCAGGTGTGTGGATGACTGGCGGAGGCAGTGGGAGGAATTCTGTTCATGGATTGTGGCTGAGTATGGAGAAGAGTGGGAGAACACAAACAGGTGAGGCGACTAGATACTCGCCAGGAAACCAATTCTTCGTGTATTACTACTGTGGGTACTGCAACAGTGATGACAGCGTGCTGCCATTCTTCGTGTGTCTCGGGGTTGGTTAAGGATGGAACGTTGACCATGTCGCGTCCCCTACGTTCACGGTCATGGCCACACTTTGAAGAGAGCGAGCATGTCAGGAGAATTGCCATCGCGGAATCAAGCATATCAAATATTGCCAAGTGCCATATACCGGCTGCTCAAGTCAACCTTGTTTCATTAAACCGATTTCCATAGTCACTTATTCGACAACACGCCGTGTTGCAGCATCACACATGTTCCATCCAAAAAGGGTATCTTACTCCTCACACAGCATTCTTCTCCGAGGCGCTGTGCTCAACGTACTCATCTACAAGGCCGACATCAGCACGCGCCTGCTGGAGGATAATGGCGTCCTCAGCCCCCGTGCGGCTCCCGAAGATCTTGTCCATCTCTTCCAGCGTCACACCCTTCGTCTCGGGCAGGCAGAACCAAACCCAAATGATGCCACCGCCGAGGAAGACCGCAAAGAAGATGTACGTTCCCCACCCCCAGCCGGCGAACATGGCGGGCACATAAAACGCCACGGCAAAGTTGTTGAGCCAGTTGCTCGATGCGCCAATAGACACGCCCTTGGAGCGGATGGACAGGGGAAAGATCTCGGAGATGAGAACCCACGAGCAAGGTCCCCAGGTAGCACCAAAGGCGCCGACGTAGATCCACACAAAGACAACGGCGACCCAGCCGGCCACAGGGTTGCTGGCCCACTTGTCGTTGAACTTGGCGTCGATAATGCCGGGGATGACCATGGCGATCCACATGACGATCGAACCGACAATGAGCATTGGCTTGCGACCGACCTTGTCGATGAGTGGCATGGCGGGAATGGTCGAGATGAGGAAGATGACGCCCGTCACACCGCTTGCGAGGAGAGCCAGGGTCCCGCCAGTCAGGCCGAGGCTCTGGAAAACATCCGCAGAGTAGTAAATGATGGCATCGATGCCGCTGTGAATGGTCAGCACTGAATTCTTGGAATTGTTGTTAGACCTGATGCTCTTACCTCCATTGCTGGAAGAACATGACGAGCCATGCCGTGGCGACTCGCTTGAAGTGGTCCCAGTTCCGCAGGATCTGCCAGTACTGTGCCATCTCCCTGCGAAGCACGTTGGTGTTCTTCTCGGCGAGACCCGGGAAGTTCTTCTGAAAAACGCGCTGCTCGAATAGAACTTCAGCCTGAATTTCCTTCAGCTCCGTCTGAACAAGCTCATCGCTCTCGGGTAGGTTGCGAAGGTAGGAGAGAGTCTTGAGAGCCTCTTCGTCGCGGCCCTGCTTGGCGAGCCAGCGAGGAGAGAAAGGAAGCCACCAGATACCGACGGCCAAGAGGACAGCGGGAACTCCCTGGATGTACGAAGGGAGGCGCCACGCGAGATCAGTCTGACCTTCGCCAATTCCGCCAATGTAGTTGCTGCCATAGCCAACCCAAAACGAGAGCATGATGCCGAGAATGGTGCAAAACTGGTAGAACGACACGATGAAACCACGGAGCTCAGGAGCAGAGAGCTCAGCATTATAAAGGGGTCTGCAATCGGTCAGCAGTCGAACGCGTCGATCATACTACATTCATCACTTACCCAACACCGCTGAAGGTTCCGACGCCGATACCGGTAAAGAAACGGCCGGCATATAGCATCTCGGGCTTGTGGAAGGACGCCCCCGTGTAGAGGAAGCTACCAAGGATGACCCAAAGACAGGCCGAAAACATGGTGTACTTGCGGGAAAAGACCTCGCCAAAGATTCCAGCTGTCACAGAGCCGAGAATACCCCCAAGTTGAAGGACAGAGGTCAACCAGCCCTTGGCGCTGGACGATTCAACAACAGTGGGGAAGTTGTCAATGAATCGCGTCATGACAAAGGATTGCCCGAGAACACCCTGCTGATAACCATATTCAAAGCCTCCAAAGCTAAGACGTCAAGTCAGCACGTTGATCTTGCCACCGGATCAAAAGCTATTGTGCCACGTGTGAAGATTCGGGCGAGATCCACCACGCCTGAGAAAGGACATACGATGCGAATAGAGCAATGACGATAATCTTGGGATTGCTTTTGAGTGTCTTCCAGCGGTTCTCGAAAGCGAGCTCAGTACGCTCCTGAGCCGCAGTCTTGGGCGCGTTGCTGATGACAGCCATGCTTGCCTATGTTGCGATGATAGGGGCCAAGGCGAGGATGGCGCTGCTGACGAGGTAGCAGTGATGGGAAGAATGTGTTGCTTGAAGGCGAGGGAGGCAGCCGGATCTCGAGTCCAGATGAGCAACTTCTGGCTTTATACATTTCTGCTGTCGAGATTTGCTCCCTTCCCGCCTAACCCAACGGTGTTTCGTCCGCACCATGAATTGGCCTGGCGCCTGATGGTGGCCCGGCATTAGGTAACTTTGCTCCACCACGGGTGAAAATTGTCTTCCCCGTGGTGCTCCAGATGCTCCACGGTTCCCCAAAACGTGGAGTTGCCCACCCAAACCCAAGGTTAACATCCCATGGTGCTTGTCCGATCCCCGCGACATTTCCTGATGTTTGACCAATAACGGGGTATGGAGGGGTGCAGTGAATGACACTGCAACCCAAAGAACCTCGATCTGGGCAGGGATGGGTCGGGACGCCTTGTGGTGCTCGTAGGGGAAGTCTGTAGCCTACGATGCCGAGCAAAATTGCAATAGCCTATTGCTGCCAAGCGAAGCTAGCTTTTCTTAAATGTGCAGGGATGCCTGCCCAACATACTCGCAGAGTCGTGAACCAGTAGCCTAATATGTCCTAATCAGGCTAGCTCGTGTCATCGGCAGTCAGATCAAGGCTGCGGTGATCGAATCTAGGCCATAGCGCTTGCGAGTCTCGACATCCCGGCAACCAACATCAGTGACAAGGGCGCATACTCGTCGATCTGTGGGTGATGTGAGAGGCGGGGCTCACGCAGGATGGAAACAACCATGGAGCGACCAGTCCTGCATGGAGATGAGAGACGCACGGCCTCAATAATCAAAATCAATGTCGTGGTCCTCTCGAAATGCCTGCCAGATGCCGTTGAGGCTCGCGGTCTCTCGTTGTAGATCCACCCCAGCGTCTCGAGAAATGCGCTGCAGGCACTCTTTGACGGCAAGTTGCTGAGCCAGGTGCGTCATCTCCTCCGCAATCAGCAGCAAGGCACCGATGATGATAGGATCCCATTGCTCTCTGTAGGTATTCCATACGGCGTTGCCGGCGATCTTCTCCGAGTGCCAGCTCCGCGATTCAAACGGTCGCCGAGGCCTGATAGCCGCCGACAGGCCAGGTCTCGACTTCAAGAGTAGTAGGCACGCCAGATGCATGTTGGTGTTGCTCTGCAGGGAGATTGGACTGCTGTATATTGACACGGGGAAGCCCGGGTCGTCTGTGTTCAGGGCTGCTGCTTCGAGCGCCGTCGTCTCGAGGATGGGAACCGCGTCTTGGGGCCGTGTTTGGTACCAGTGGGTACAGACGGCCCAGTACGCAGACCATGCGGACTCGAAATCAGTCGATGCGTCTGGGGTCTGGCCGACGAGTGGGTCTGTGTGTTCAGCGGGAAATACAGACGGTCTGCTATTGACGAGGTCTATGCATCTAGCGAGATGGCAGATGCTGGCAGTATGCACGTGCTCGGGCGACGAGCTGGATGCAGCCAAGGATTGACGGCGGCGAACCCAGGATAGAAGATTTTCTGAGAGAGGCCTGCTGGTGCGGATGGAGTTTGCTAGCTCTGACGAATATGCTCCATTAGTACGTTTCGCCACGCGACAACCCCGGGAGGTTCTCGTCACCAAGACTCTGGGTTGATCTTACCTATCTTGATCTGAAAACGGGCCAGTGATTCGAGGGGCTCCTTGTCGCTGTGCAAGAAAAGATCAGACGGTTCGATTTGAGGATGGCGCACCATATGATTCGGCCACCGGGAGGGCGGCCTGCCAAAGAAACCTCCCAGTGTCACCAAAGAGAGTGCAACATGGGCCACTGATGCGTCCTGCGTCGAAAGCTCGTCCAGTAACTCTCGTTCCTTTTCGCTCGTATACATGTCCGCCGGAGGGTACAGTGAGGGGAACATGGATCGACTCTCGACGACCAGTGCGATGGCTCGCACAATGACATCCTCTCTCTGGGCCAGCTCCAGGACATCGACGGCAAAAGTGGACCGCGGTGCGCTTGAATCGACAATTGGAGCAATGTCGTACCGAAAGCTACGGAGGATGTCAGCACGCTCCGCAGATTGCGCAGCAGTTGTATTCGTGAACGCATGAGTCGTTCCCACGTGGGCCGGCGTGAAGACTTGGCGGGCAGAGGCAGCGCCTGGCGACATGCTGTCCGAGGTGGAGACATTGTCAACGTGGACGCGGCCATGGCGTCTTGCAACTGGCTTTCGCGTTGCTGTCTCGCCGACAGATGCCGACGATGGGGAGGATCCGCGTCTTGGGGTCGGCAATGGTGGCTCTGATGATTCGTGTCTGGCAGGATGACCCAGATGTCCGCTGGGCGTCCTACGGGCAACGTCTGCACGTCGGCGACCCAGGTCAATGGCTTGTAGAGGCAGGTCACATTCCTCTCCTGGCAGCTGCCACATGAAGGCTTCTTTTCGTCACCTGAGGTGAAGATAAGGTCAGTTAGCGATGGGAAACAAATGGCGGCGCATATGAGGGGTCGCGTCGGTTGTATCCGAGTTATGGATGACGACGGAAGCTTACATTTCCGGTGTCGCTTTCGACAAGGGATGCACCCCCTACGCGAGCGTCGTCTGATTTCTGGAGGAGCTCCTGTGATAGACGCTGCAGTCTTGTTGGATGGATCCGCTGCAGACATGGCTGGTGCAAGCGGATGAGGTGTCTGGGAGTGAGAGGCGATGTTGCTCTGTGATAGCCTACGCTGAAGTTCCGAGGATGAGATTTGTCCGGGGCAGTGAGAATCCTGTGGGGCACTCAGGGAGGGCAGAGGGGAACGAGCCCGGCAGGAGCCGACCTGCCCTGGAAGCCGAGAAACAGAGGGCCTGGGGTCAGTGAGATGTTTTGGCGCCAGTGACTAATTAGCGCTAGCGCTAGGGGCCTTCCATCTCTATCCAGGCACCCTACTATCTTACCTTCGTTAGGGAGGCCTGGACACCTGGATTGCCCAACATACCCGCCGCCAGTCTGCCTGCTGACATTGCTACCACTTTTCGGCTACCACTTCAGCTTTCCACCGCGAGCAATCATTATCGCCAAGTTCCATGATCCATCGCGTCTAGCATCAAGACTCACCATCACTTTCCTTCTCATGACGACGTCAGATGAGATGGACGGCTTGTCTGCCGACCCACGGTTCCTCGAATTACAAGAGCAACTGAGGGACGCTGTCTTCACTGGATTATCCACGCTGAGTCCGAGCCGCTGGGCGACTCCAGAACCCCAAGCGACCCCCGCTGCCACCCACGACAACAGCGAACAGCCGCGGAAGAATCGACGTCTGGACTACGCCAGCACCAGCATTCCTCAGGTCCGCCTAATAAACTACCTCCGCAACTGGGTCACTGAATGTGCACCGTACCTGGACAAATTCGATGAGGCCCGGCATTTTCAGATACAGGTGCCCATCCTGGCACAGAAATCACCGGCACTCTTCTACGCGATTCTTGCCTTCTCAGCCCGCCAAATGGAGAGACGGAACCCCTCGTTGCCTGAGAGCTACGACAGCCTGGAGCTTTACCAGCAGAGCATCTTGGCATTGGGCCCCAGCCTGCAGGCGAAGGATCCAAGCATCCTTGTGACCGCATGTATCCTTGCGGTCTTCGAGCTGATGGCTGGCAGCTCCAAGGACTGGCGTCGACATCTAGAAGGTTGCGCTGGACTCTTCGAGTTCTTTGGAGTCAACGGCTTCTCGGGCGGCCTTCCTCAGGCCGTGTTCTGGTGCTATGCTCGGATGGAGGTTTGCGGCGAGATTATCTCCTCCGGAACTGAGACAACCATGCTGCCGCTCGACAGATGGATCCCCAGGCCGGACAACGCCGCGAACCATGGGTCGCCCGAGGAGTCTGGACATGCTGCCGACACCTACGTTGAGGAGCTCTTCTGGCAGCACAGTCGAGGTTCCTGCGACATGTACGCCAACTGGGCTCTGTATCTCTGCGCCGAAGTGTGCAACCTGCGATATCGACTCGTCCGATACCTTGGTCTCGGAGAACAAGACGAGTCCGATAACAGACCATTCACCAAGCGATGGGAACAGCTCTGGTTCAGGCTGCAAAGGTGGTACGACCGGCGTCCTCGTCCCATGATGCCCATCATAGACGCCAAAGCAAAGACGGCAGAGGGCCATCTTTTCCCCACGATTCTCTTCTCTCACTGGGCCGCCATATCGAGCAACCAACTCTATCATGCCGCCTGCATCCTCATGCTCGAGATGCGCCGCTCGAACAGCGTCACGCCCGAGTTCTCCGCTGTGTGGCATGCTCGCCGAATCTGCGGCATATCGGGCTCGAACCCGCACCTCGGCAGCTTGATCAACGCTATCCAACCTCTTTACTTGGCCGGCAAGATCTTCACGCACGTCTCCGAGCGTCGTGAGGTCGCCAGAATTCTTCTTCATATCGACCAGGCTACCGGTTGGGGCGCGCTCTGGCGATTGAGAGATCTGGATGCCGAGTGGGGCTACGAACCCGACGAGATGTTGAACATGGTGAGAGGTGGTGCGACCTCCCCCACAGCCGTCGCGTAACAGGTACCGATACGGTATGGCGCATCTTGATTGTTGGTGTGGTCGCCAGTCGCATCGCCCACCGCAAAGCTGGAGCCTCAAGTAGGCTAACGGCCCCACAAGGAGTCCAGCATTTCGTGAATTACATCGGTCGTCACGCCCCAGCAAGAAGGCTTGGTGACACAGGTTTAGTGATATCCAACGCACATTATTAAAAAGAGCATTTCTCTCACAAGGAATAGCCCTTCATCTCGGATCCTCAAGATCGGTTCTTCGAAACACCACCAGAGTCGCCAATTCGACAGAGCGACACCACTACAGACTGTCATCCTGCATTCAACACTCGTCACATACATCACCCACGATGAGCGCCCGCCGACCCGTCATCCACGTCTTGGGATCGTTGAACTTGGACCAAGTCTCCTATGTCTCCCATCACCCACATCCAGGCGAGACCATGACGGCCTCGGGCTTCGAATCAGGCTGCGGAGGCAAGGGGGCAAACCAAGCCGTCGCTTGTGCCAAGTTGTCACGAAGTAGGACTCTTGAAGACCCCAGTGTTGATGTTTTCATGATCGGGGCTGTAGGAGGAGATAGCGCCGGGTCCGGGCTCATCGAGAGTCTTGACTCGTGCGGAGTGGACACCAGCATGGTTCGGGTCAATGCCTCTGGCGGCGAAGACTCTCAAACCGGCATCGCCATCATCATCATCGATGAATCGGACGGCCAAAACAGGATCATTTTGTCTCCCGGCGCGAACCGCTCCGTTGGTTTTGACCACGTCCAGCAATCTGTTAGCCTCAAGCCAGACCTCCTGATTCTTCAGATGGAAGTTCCCGCGCCCACTGTTCTCGAAAGCATCCAGGCTGCCAAGGCTGCGAAGGTTCCTGTTCTTCTGAACCAGGCGCCTGCCATTTCATTGCCGGCTGAGGCATATCAGGGATTGGATCATCTGATTCTGAATGAAACCGAGGCTGCGCTCGTCGCTGACGTGGCGGAATCTGAGCTCGAAGATCCCTCGTCACTGGCTACCGTTGCTGATCAACTCTTGCAAAAGGGCGTCAAAAACGTTATTCTTACACTAGGTGCCCGCGGTGTGTTTTATGCTTGTGAAAGTGGCGAGAGGCGGCTGGTGCCGGCCCTCAAGGTCGATGCCATAGATACGACGGCGGCTGGGGACACGTTCATCGGAGCTTACGCTGTGGCTTTTGCAGAGGAAACTTCACGAGGTGAGGATTTCGAGATCGAGGACGCTGTTGCGCGAGCTATCAGGGGATCGAGCATCACTGTCTCTCGTCGGGGAGCTCAGACGTCAATCCCCTGGAGGAACGAGTTGAAGGGATTGGAGTTTAAATACCAAGAACTCGAACTCTGATAAAAGTGTTAGATCAAGTACGGATCACACTATATTGCATTCAGTCCCTGAAAGATTTCGCCCACAGCTGGGCCTTGGGTGCCTAAATTTGGCCTCAGTACATACACTGGCCACCGCCTGCCAGGATAGCTTAGCTTATATCTAGGCAGGTACCAGCTCAGCTCATAAATGCCGGCGGGTATGTGTCAGAGCGTTGTTTAGAGCAGAGTGAAGGGGTCTTCCACAGGGTCCGCAGGTAGTTAGAATATAGGTATGGGATAGGAATACATCTGAATCCTGGCCCTCCGCAGCCTATATATACGTTCTCTTGTGACCCTTAGCCCCTGGCCTGACAGTATGTCTGTGGGAAATCGGAAACGGAGAGGCATCTTTGATTTACTGTCCGCTATGTCCTTTGTCAATTAGCGACCTGTATTTTCTGCCACTCGGCTGGCGCTCATACAAAGTATTGAGGCCAAGTTTGGACACTAAAGTGGTGAATCAATTCTTCTCCCTTCTGACATGACATTGTCCCATACTTTGTTCGAAGGCTTTGGTCCGCAGCTGCAGTCGTGTTCCGATAACTTCATACCGTCCCTTACACTGAGTCAGCAGCATGTATTAGTCGGAACCTTTTTCCTCGCTAGAATCAATCATGCTTATGGGGCTAGAAATTGAAAGATGACTTTCGCAATGAGGGACATTATGGACCTGAGACCATGTGAGTTTGAGGCACCAAATCCATTCTCTGCGCCATCTTTGCTATCAATGTCTTAGACGTGCTGGGCCACTAATAACTGCAGGCAATCTTCTATACGTCCCGGAGATGGTGGATGGGGTGGCACTACGTCGTTGTGCTGTGTCAGACATTAATGACAGTTGTTCCTGACTCCTATCTACTCCAATGTCATATTAGACATGCGAGATCTCAAAGTAAGTACAGGAAACCACAGATTTAAATCAGAGAAGCTCAACACAGTACGTTGATCATCGAGGCAACTACAAAATTGATCAACGCATCTAACTAAACAACGAGCGATTGCAATTCTTTGAAAAGCAAGCGAACGACAGCTGCTAACATGTGGCGTCTTCCTGGACAGAGATTCCGAATCATTCAATCATGCAGTGACCGATCTTAGTGCTTTGCTTATTGGGCTGCGGTGTCATAACTACCTTGCGCCATGGCCACGAGTATCCCCATCCAGAGTTGGATCTTTTTTTAAATTTGGGACTCTTCATCTTCTACTTGTCCTAGAGTACTTGTCACATCACCAACAAATTGGACAGAAGACCCGAGGATTATCGGACCCCACTCTCTTTTCATCCCACAACGCCCCATGTCGGCCCCACCCACGACATGGTCATTTCTACTATCGCCAAGCACAAAACATGGAATTTAATCAAAAACATACAACATCGGGGATTCGCTGGTGGTCACCCACCCAACTACTAGTCCAACCCTTACTGGCTTATCTATGGGAGAGCGGACGGGATCCCGAGTTTTCCAGTAGGTATGGTCGTATGTGGTAGTTGCACTCCCTTTGTCTGAATATAATGCATTCAATCATGCCTCAGATCGTGAGAGGACTAAGGAAGTTCATGTGAGTACAAGGCTATTCGCCTTCAGTGAACTGCTAAAAAAGAAAATGAGCAGAGATCTATCTATTTGAAACCGAGGAGTTTAGTCTTAGTATGACCAAGTATCCTATAACCTATATACCGCTGTAATAATGAGGTATCGCGCCGCTACCTTTCGCTACCTTCCTTAGTACCTAGAGTGCTATTGCTACGACCTGGCAGCTTCCAACGCGGAACACTGTCAGAGAGATAGGTTTGCTGCTAGCAGAAGCTTAGGTTGTGATTCTGAGACAAGGTGGTGTTGTGACGCGTTGCGCACTCATTACAATGAATACAAGGTAAGACTTGGATTGATCACTGTCGTGAGAAAGAATGTATTTGCAATTCCAGAATGTCCTTCCTCATAAACTCGTTCATCATGTCCCTGTGGTGTTGGTTAGGGAGTCCATGTTGGATGGCTCACTGTTGGTTGTTGGCGATCCATGATACTAGGATCACGGTATGTTATCTGGTGAACCAAATCCCTGGCTTACTGTTAGGTCCTGGGTGAGCCCCCCAGGCTCACCTGTCGATCTTTTACCTGTTGACCCCATTTCGGCCGAGTGAACAGAGTCTTCCTGTTCGGAACGGCCTGGCCCCAAATACCTTGTCTGGGCCGCCAGGTTCGTATGCAGCCCGATAATTCTGGGTTTTCTCGCCCGAGATGACCTCTCAAGTAGTAGGGTCAGTCCTGCGGATTTCTTGCAGTGCACACAAGAAAGCAGGGAGGTGTTCCTGGCAGAAAACCTGTACTCTTAAATGGAAAGGCTGAGTCGGAAAAAAAGGCACAAAGTGACTTGGCTTCGCGTAAGGATGCTCAGCCCTGCCAGCCCAATCTTTCTGGCGCGCACGCTCGCGCGATTCCCTTGATCTCCTGTGCCATACACCTGCACAGAGTGCTCGGCTCGGGACAACTACGAGGTTTGGCTCGTGAGCAATAACGTTGGAATCATCATCCGAGACTTTTCTTGCTGTTTTCACAGTCCCTCTTCGCGATTCCCAGTGTGTGCCCTCTCTCGCCTTCTTTTGAGTTATTACCATCGACATTCTCCCGCTACGATGAAGCCCTCTTCTTCGATAGCTTTAGCTCTTTCACATTCTGCTTCACTATATTTAATGTTTAACCTCCGTATTTGTTCATTCGCTTTCTTGATATCACCGTGGGTTACCTCGTCAAGCTTTCTGTAAGTTTGGTAAAATTCATACTTACGTGATATTTCTCCTTGGTTCATTCTCTTATTCAGCTTCCTTCGCTTCATTTACCGGGCTGCACAACGGCGGACGCCTTAGGAGCCTTGCAACGAGTGACGGATTGCGACTGTTGATCTTTTGGGGATCTATCAACAAGTAGAGTGATCGACTATCTTCTTGACCGTGAGCCGACGGCCCTCCTTGTAAACAGTCTTTTGTAATGCTTGCCCCCTATTTCTTCGTAAATCCTCTGCCAGACAACATCTGCCCCGCCACCACCTCGTAGTCCATCAACGGTCTCAACAGTGGATGCTGGACGTTCAAGTTCGAGGCCCATCAGAAGGTTCGGGTCCGACCCATCTGTTCGTGCTGCTCGCTGCAACGGAACGGATAATTATTTGACAATTCCCCATTGCTTTTTAGTCGTTTCCCGGCCGCGGTAAAACTAGATCCAGAGCCGATTCTCTCCCGCGGGCCTTTTGCCGAAAATTCGAGTCTAAGCGAAAATTCTCAACTTTGCCGAAAATACAAAGCCTGGACCACCAAGAGCGGCCATTTTTCCACGAACGATCCGGCCCCCCACAGTCCTGCCTTCATAAACCTTCATCGCCAAGAAACACTTAAAGCACATTTCGGGTCACCTGCACATGGGATCCTTCGACTCCGTCAAAGCTATGATCCGAAGGATGGTCTGAGGTGACTTATCGCCAGCCAAGTTCATCCACCGCATCTGAGCGATTCAGGCACCTCAAATATCTTCTTTCTGCGTAGGAAGCAGGCAAGGGTGTAATGTGATATCACAAAGAGCAGAAATAAGGCTCCGACGATTCTCCACCGGAATTTTAAGGTATCGCGTGTCACTGGAGTCATGTCATCCAACATGGAGTCATGACTCGTTAAAAAGCCCACCACCCTCGTTACTCGACACCGGCCCCATGGGGAGGTTGAACCGGCGGTGGGAACCAGACATCATTTAAGTGGACCGAGAACGTCAGTCAGTAAGGTAGGCGGGTTAGTTCGACCTATCCATTACGATGTCCGTGTCTGGAATGACGCTGAACGGGGTTCAAAATAGCGATCCCTGCATTTTATTTCTCCTGTGCAACTTTCACCATGGGTAGATTTTGGGAATTCTATAATGATACCCCATGGGCCGATTCTGTATGATATTGTAACTCCATAGGGGACCAGGATTCGTCTACTAGGTACATTTTGGCTTCACCTTCGTGGCTACCTTCAAGATGACGCCTAGAGGCACTAGAGAGGCTTGTCAACACACAAAGATGCAGAAGCTAAGGCGTTCCAATGCCTTGAAAACGTTGAGCCGAGCTCGCGATGTGGCCTTTCGTATCGAAGCCGAGAATATCGTATCATGAAAGGGCCGATTGTTCAGCATACCTTTGGATTTGGGTTGGCAGATTCTCCGCAACATTTCGGACATTGGCCTTGGCGGTTGGGCCCAAGGGTCTGGCACACCTCACGCAAGCGAGATCCGGAAACCCTATAGTCATGCTCTAGCGCTTTGGTCCACCGTTGTGTCGGTCCGAATGCGCTTCTGGTCAACGAAGCGAGTGAATGTTTACTATTTCCTGATGGCCCTGTGTAATGCGGTAATGATGGGGTTGATAACATCGGCGGTGGTTCGGAGTGAGTTACTGCCCGCCGGCTTGGCAAAGAACTCCGCAGCTAAGAGGAGGGGAAACATTTCCCTGAGGCGATCCAGGCTACTGAATTAGGAGTAATGAAGATTATATAAAGTGCGGGTGTAAGGCCTGCAAATAAACCTTGAAAATACTCTAGCAATTTGTAACTTGTCTACAACCTTCCACTACTTCATTAAGTCGGGTTCGATTCAGCTCGGCAAACATGAGATTATCAATCTCTGACTGGGCCCTTGTCCTTCTGCTTACCTCCGATGCGGCCCAGGCCGGTCGAGGAAGCAGGCCCTCAAATGTTCATAGGGATGAATTCCCGTACAGAAACAAAAAGCCATCTGTCAACCAGCGAGTTGACGATCTCTTGTCACGCATGACTATCGAAGAAAAAGCTGGTCAAATGTACCACGCTCGCGCTCTTCTGAGCCCGAGCGGCGAGGCCAACACAGGCAGCATGATCAAGAACCAATGCATCACCCATTTTGTGTACCAAGGTGGTGTGAATGATGTCGACGCTTTTATAGACTGGTTCAATGAGAGGCAGCAACAAGCTCATGACACCCGACTCGGAATTCCAGTCACCTTCTCAACCGATCCTCAACACGGTTGGACGCAAGACAGTGCAACCGCCAACATGGGACTTTCCTTTTCGCGCTGGACTGAGCCGATGGGTCTTGCAGCAATGCGGAGCCCTGAAACGGCTCGCGTCTACGCCGACGTGGTCCGCCAGGAGCTTGCTGCGGTGGGAATTCGCCAGATTCTCTACCCTCAAGTTGATCTCGCCACCGAACCTCGATGGGGAAGGACTGGTCTCACCTTCGGAGAAGATGCCAACTTGACAACGGCCATGGTGCTCCCTATGTTGGAGGGCTTCAGAGGCAAGGGCAAAGTTGCAGACTCTGTCATCGCTACTGTGAAGCACTTCCCCGGTGCTGGCCCCATGGAGAATGGCGCAGATGCCCATTTCCCTTGGGGTAAGAATACCACCTGGCCTGGTAGCAACCTCGACCAGCATCTTCAACCCTTCAAGGCAGCCATTGATGCAGGAGCTCCACAGATTATGCCATACTACTCCAGGCCCAGAATCGATCGATGGGAGCCCATTGGCTTTGCTTTTAACAAGCCAGTTATCACTGGGCTTCTGAAGCAGGAACTTGGCTTTGAGGGTATTATCCTGACGGACTTTGGCATTTTGTCCATTGCTCCTTGGGGTCTGGAAGATAAGACACCGTTAGAGAGAACTTGGTACGCTGTGGAGGCCGGAGTTGACATTATTGGAGGGGAATCAAGCACCGAACACCTTATCAAGCTGGTCAAGGACGGCAATGTTACAGAGTCTCGCATCGATTATTCCGTCCGCAAGCTGCTGAAGCAAAAGTTCGAACTGGGCCTCTTCGACAAACCTTTTGCCGACAAAAAGGAAGCTGCTGGTATCGTGGGGAACGAAGAGTTCAGGCGTCTAGGCAACTCTACGCAGCGAGATTCGTTGACTCTTTTGACAAACAAGAACGACATTCTGCCACTGCCTCGCTCGGCTCAAAAGGCCAAGATTTATGCCGAAGGAATCCCCCCTGAGATTCTTGAAAGTCGTGGCCTAACAGCAGTCAGCGACCCGAAGAATGCTGACTTTGCATTCCTTCGCCTGGCATCACCCGCCGGTCCCCCTGATCCCGCCTGGCCTGCGTCCTACGCCATCAATAATGGGTCGCTTGAGTTCACCCCCGAAGAGCAGAAGCGCCAGGCAGCCATATACGAGGCGGTTCCGACCATCGTGGATATTAAGATGAATCGTCCAGCCGTCATCCCGGAGATTGCCGACAAAGCAGCCGCACTCTTTGCGAGCTACGGGAGTAGCCCAGATGCGTTCCTTGACGTGGTGTTCCGGGTCAAGGGTGCTGAGCCCAAAGGAAAGCTACCCTTTGACATGGCATCCTCCGATCAAGCCGTTGATGACTCTTTCGAGGATCTGCCATTTGACACCAAGGATGCTGTTTTCAGATTTGGTCATGGATTGAGGTACAACGTTCCAGCCTGTATTCCCGGCCCCAAGCCTGTAAATAAAAAAGCACAGAGCCACAGGCAATGATGTAGACAGCAAGTAGCACGGTGATAATTTCAACATCGTGAGACTTTCAGTGGGTGAGCCGAGACTTGCAGTATTTCGTGTAGGTGGTCGTTATCGGCATATAACATCAAGGCCTTACAACCACGAGATATGTGGCAACAGTGCAGTCTTACTTCAACAACCTTATATGGACTTCAAAGAGCCGAGCACCCTACATGAATCTGTTTCGACAACAGAGATCAGCTACAGTCCAACGAACCACTACGACACCTTGGCAACGGAGGTGTACCCTGCTCACCTGCCGACTTTTGTCGCCTCAGAACACCAGCATACCAGCTGGAAGTTTAACTAAAGGATTTGATCGACGGCGTTAGGGCGTATTTCGGACATGTCGAGTTCTTGGGTCAGGAGCAATGCCCAGCTCCTCGTTGAGACTTTGCAACATCCGAGGTCGTATCCTGCCATTGGTAAAGAGACTACACAATGACGCACAAAGAGAAAACGGTCCGAGTGCGGTGTATCTCCCGACAGCTCCCTCTATTACTTCAAATGCGTCAATTGAGTCTTCAGAAACCCGCAGAAGCTCTCGAAGACAGACAACTCGAGACCCTCTCTCCATCGGCACGTTACCGCCATGCCGGCCCTCCTGATATCGATGTCAATCTCGAATCCAAGCGCGCAGAGACCTGAGTCATGACTGCCATCTGAAGATTTGTTCTTCCCTCCTTCCTGTTCTCTCGCCTTCTTACGCCGCCAGGCTCGGCTCCAGACATTCTCGCGTGCGCGCCCTGTTCCGCGGAGCTTGTGCTTATCCCACGCCCAACATACGAGCTCGAGCGAGGTCATGAGCGAATCTACCTTCTCACCTACTACGCCCGACACCAACATCCAGTGGAATGGTAAGAATCTCAACCCTCTGTACTCGGCGGAAAGTACCTTTTCCATTTATCAGCTTTCATCCCCCCTCGACGCCTGTGTTGATGGCCTCATCGGTGCAAAACTCCATGCAAGCGCCCATCGTCTCGTCTTGTTTCCCTGCACGAACTCGGTGATGGCGTAGTTGTTTATGCCGTGCTCGCGCAGCTTTTCTACGATTGTCTCGAGGCTGCTCTGCTTTCCAAGCATGGAAGTATACCACTGAATTGCGTCGCGGAGGGCAAGAGACTCTTCGATTAGGCGCGTGACAAAGGCTACTTCGCCGCCGGGTGTGACCATCTCCACAGGAGCGCCCGTGCACGCCGACAAGGGGGGACGGGATTTCTGCTTCGCAGAGGCAAGGAGGTCGGCGTCGGATTCGTAGAAGGGAGGATTGGTCATTGTGAAGTCAATGGCCGCTGGATGTGCTGGGATGAGGGGATCTGAGCTCTGCCGAGAGATAATCTGAATGCGATTCTGGACGTGATTTAACTCAACATTCTTCTTTGCAAAACTGAGGCTCTTGGGATCCACGTCTAGGCTGGTCAGTCAATCGGCCGCAAGAAGAGACGAGGCGTACTACCGGTTGCAATAAAAGACCAGTTGCGCTGTTGGCAAGCAAGTAGAGGGTAGATGCAGCTTGCCCCAGTACCAATGTCGAGGCCCGTCATCTTTCGGCCACGCTCGGCATAGGATGAGCCGTCAATGAGCTCCTTGAGCCATAGGATGTAATTGTGGCGGACGGGCACCTGTATGTGATTAATTGGATTCAATGATGATGCCTGCCAGTGCCGAACCTACAGGAGGGCATAACCTGTCGTCAGGAAGTTCTATTTTAAGACCATAGTCGATTTTGAGCAGCGTTTTGGTAAGCTGCATAACAGCAGCTGGATTATTGAAGTCGAGGTTCCCGCTGCGAAGCCTGTCATCGTTCGTAAGAAGAATGCACGTCACTTGGGCAGGTCTACTTACAATAGACCAAACTCCGAATCCTCACGACTGAGTTGTCTGAAGTCAAGTTCGCTCAGATACAGGTCGCGAAAGTACGTATCTGCATCAACTCCAGGCGCGGGGCGTTCTTCTCGGTGACGTCTTGTGCTGTAGGTCGTTGCACCATGTCTCGAACCATCGGTTAGATGACTTGCAGTGCTTTTTCCATCACTGGGCTTCTTTCTCTTGGTGCCGGTCATTTTCTCAAGTACTTAGTATCGCTTCGCGAAGTTGGCAATGCCTTTTGGCTTCGTGATATGGTCGTGTGTTTGCGATGTTCATGGGAAAAACTCCTGGGAATGACCAATAGTGAACTACCCCGCCAAAACCTTCCTCGAGAAACGGGAGGCCCGTGCATCCACCAAAAGTGCTTTGCCAGTCGCCGCCTTGGTAGACACCAGCGAAGGATCAATTTTGGTCCCTTTGATAGGTAATGTATACACGAGTGCCTAGAATAGCATGCAGTTTAACTGTCTCATGGAAGTCGCTCTCGCATGTTGTTTTCTGTTCTGAAGAATCCCCCGACCAACCTACACTCATACATGTCAATACCGCGGAATCCCTCTGGCAATTCCATGCAGTGGTCTCATGCGCGCAAGCATCAAATAGGTATGACTCCAGGGTAACATGTCAAAGTGAGTGTCAAGTTCGGTCCAAAATCCTGCTACCACATCGCGTAGAAAACGTGAGAGACCAGTCATACAAAATATGGGTATCATTCGCTTCTTATGACCGGTGGAAGCCAATAGACACCCTGATTGAGTGCTCAGACAGCACGACTCATGAAACTCCGACACAGTTCTTTCGAGGCAAGTGCCACGGGGACCTCATAGCTCTGGTCTTCCCTAGACTTCCGTTCGTCGCCGCTCGTGTCAGTTCTCAGACAGGGGAAAGCAAGTTGGCGCGTCCATCCTCAGCTGTATCAAATACCTGGTCGATAAGCCCAAGATACGGCAGCCGCAAGCGTAGCAAACACACTGGCCACGCCCAAGCCCCACGGCAGCACGACTCCTAGCATGGTGATACTCGCCATGGTCGAGAGAATGCCGCCCGAGGGAGCATAGCCGTTGTACATGTATGACTGGAATGCGGCAACAGCGACTCCTTTCCATCGAATCAAGGTCAGCAAGAGGATAATGCCGGTCTCAGGGTAGCGAGCACGTGTCAAGATACTCACCTACACTAAAGCCAACGAAACCAAAAGCAACGCCGAGGACGATGATGCTTGCCATGGCAAATGTTGCTACCCATAGCATGAACGTGGCGACTATGTCTGATTCGGTGAGCTGACAGAGCGTCATGGATACAGACAGCGGCGTGCGACCTACGAGGTTCTGAGTACCATTCTGTCGGTGAACTCCAGATCTGCTGTAGCGGATGGCTGGCACTGAGCGCCGCTGGGATAGGAGGGTATCCGGGGTACAGCCATGCCGGTAAACGAGGCATCAGCACATGGACTGTGGTGCATGACGCTGCGGAGCTTGGGATTATCATCGTATCGGGATTGAATAAAAAGTTGACGCTTCCATTGTTTCGTGACGAGGCGGGGGGAATAAGCCGAGTATATGAGGAGTGAACCAGTTGCGGATCGCGCGGAATGAAACATCTTTGGCGTCTTTCAGATGATGATCGCCATCGTTCGAAGCCATCTGCGGTGTGACTTTGAGATGTCCGGGTGTTTCCCGGGTTGGCCGGATCGTCGGGCTCCAGGTCGTCCGTTATGGTTCAGCGGGCTGGGTTGATTCCCCTTCGAGTTCGACCACACGTCAGCACCGCCTTATGACAGGTGCATACTTTTTTGCAGTGTATAGATAGATACTCTCCATGCCGTATATTCGTCATGCATCGACGCTAAACAGGGTAGCAATCCAGAATGTCTCCATCCGGCCCGTTGCCTCAATCACGTCATCCCATCATCCAGCGTCCCTCATCAGTGATAAATCATAATTCATAGCCCAGAATTCACTGCCCAAGAAGCAATACCCGCCACCGCCATCCGTCCAGGAGTTTCAAATCCTTTTCTTCAAGTAGACCGTCGCCCTTTTCGATCCTCGATGAAAGCTTCTTGAGCCTCTTGTTGATCGTTTTGGCCACCAACAACGTTACTTCGTTCGAAAAGACATACAGCACGGCAAAGACAAAAAAGGCGATACTCGCAATATTATTGCGACCGAGGACAGTGTCCTTGATCTTCGCCAACAACGCGCGCGTTCGAACAAAGGAGTGCTCAGTATCAGTCACAGACTTGTCCTCTTTCTTCTCCGATGGTGAGCGTCGGAAGATAAAGTTGACAGTAGGAATAATGGTAGCGCTGCGCCTGTCAGTCATGTAACCCTAGGTTTGAGAAGAGGAAGACGTACACAATGCTGCCGATGAGCCACTTCCGCCACCGGTGCTTCTCAGCATCGCTAATGAGGATCTTGACCTCCTCTCGCAATGTTCTCAGGTCAAAGCTCGCCTTGTTCAACTGCATGCGATACTGCTGTTCGAGCTCAAGGGGCACGGGTGTACCACTGAGCCGCTGCCTGTTCTTTTGCAGAGTGTAGAGCTCGCCAAGTGCTTCGAGGGTCTGTCCTCGAACATAGCGGATATCTTGGGGGGACGTGACCATGGGCGCAGACAAACCCGTCTGCTGTTGAGCTAGCAACGGGGCGCCGGCCGTTCCATCGTACTGGGACGAGTACGACATGGCAGCCGGCCCCGGCATCTGCTCTACGCTGGGGCCAACGGGACCTGTGGGGGTGGGATACAGGGAAGGGTCGTAAGGCTTGGTCGAGGCATCATAAGGTTTGGCGGCAGGTCCATATGGCTTGGGCGACGGATCGTACGGCTTGGAAGTGTCATGCTGCTTAGAGGGCGTGTCATACGGCTTTGACGGGTCGTAAGGCTTCGTTGTTGACCCATTTGGCCTAGGAGACGGATCATATGGTCTGGATGTTGGCGGCAGCTCGCTCGAGCCTGGAGGGTACGCGCCGGAGCCAGATACGGGATCGGGGTAAGATGAGGGCCGATCCCACGGCCTCGACGACGACGGCTCTTCAGGCCCAGCGAAGCCGCTGCCCCCAGACATGGCGTACTGGGAGGGGCCGTCGTAAGGCTTTGCCGACGTCGTAGTTTGGTGAGCGTCCATACTGGGTGGGGTGACGTGCCTCGTGGTGAGAACTGGCGGTATGCGCTCTTGCGGAGCCTCGGGACCTCAATGCGCGGGGTACGTCGCGGTCGTTGTCACCTCTGTAGATTGGCCTTGGGATATGAAGATGTCTCGAACAAAGAGATGACGGGGTCGCGGGATCAAGGAAGAACAAAAAGACAAGACATTCACAATCAAGCGAGGCGAGGCAAGGGGAGACAATGTGGCGTGGCACCGATTCAGAGTGCGATGAATCGATGCCAGAAAATGAGGTGGCAGGCAGGGTCGGGTCAAATGCAGTGGCAGGGAAGCCGCCAGCGGGAAGGGCGGGGCTGTTGACGGGGCAGGTGGGGTACCGATTGGTCTTCAGCTGGCAGGAGGCGGCCAGTGCCTTCTTGCCTCGCCTCTGCTATCGCACTGTCCACAACTTGATTCGAACCTGCCAAGTGCGACTGGCCACAGCTCATCAATCGGACATTTGTCTCCCAGCACCACGTACCGTATTCGAACCATGGCCGACAGCAACGCCTCACGATTCACGCCCCAAAACCAAACAGCTACCCAGCGCGTGGCGACAAATACTGTCGGTCTCGTGGCCCTTTCCGACTTTCGCAAGCGACGCGCTGAGGCCATCGAACAGCACGAGCGTGAAGCCCGCGAAGCTGCCTTTCCTGGCGGAGCGACACCAGACCGATCCGACTCTGCGACGCCGGCAAATGCTACGAGCGACTCTGGCGACGCTTCAGCGAGACCGATCAAGAAGAAGAAAAAGAAGAACAAGACCGTCGGCAGCAAGCTGTCTTTTGGCGACGATGAAGAGGACGAGGACCCCGTGACCGTGGGGAAATCAAAGACAGGCGAAAACAAGGCTCCATCAAAGCTCGCTGCCAATACTTCTGTCGGCATTGTCCCGAAAGCTCAGACGAAATCCGCACTACGACGAGAAGCTGCGGAGCGAGAAGCGTTGCGACGTGAGTTCCTCGTCATACAGGAGGCGGTTAAAGCCACGGAGATTGCGATACCCTTTGTATTTTATGATGGAACCAACATCCCCGGTGGCATTGTTCGAGTGAAAAAGGGGGACCACATATGGGTATGTCTCGATAAAAGCCGTAAAGTCGGTGCTGAGCTCGGTGTCGGCGAAAAGGCGAATGCGAGGAGGGAATGGGCGCGAGTTGGTGTAGACGACTTGATGCTCGTGAGAGGATCAATGATCATACCGCACGTAAGTACAGCAAAGCCTTCGTGACGCCTTGAATCTAATTGCTTGTAGCATTACGAATTCTACTTCTTCCTCATGAACAAGAGCGTCGGCCCCGACGGCGAGCGTCTTTTCGCATATTCTGCAGAAGCACCCCCGACGAAAGACTTGCCCGCCGATACGGAAGACGAACCTGCCGTACCCCAGGGTGGGCTTACCACGGCTGCAGCATTGAAGGCTGCTGCCATCAAGGCTTTGCCTGACATATCAACGTTGGAGGGCTACAACGATGACCCGGCATACACAAAGGTCGTAGATCGACGGTGGTATGAGCGGAACAAGCATATCTATCCTGCCAGCACTTGGCAGGATTTCGACCCCGAGAAAGACTTCCAGGATGAGGTGCGCAAGGACGCCGGTGGCAACACGTTCTTCTTTTCGAAATGAGCAGTCAACGATTCAATTTCTGATGAGCGTGTTCAAACTTGACTCTACAGACGTCAGTCAAGGTAACGACAAGGCCTGGAAGACCCAACATACTGTGCAAGTGGCTCAGCCGACCAGCAACTTGGCAGCTACAGCCGCGCCACAAAGCACCCACCAGCCAGGCCAGAAAACCAAGACTATGAGTGTGTTTACTCCTGGCCCAAGTATGACCATGGCAAAGTCATACTCCATTCGCTTGCGAATCCGCCGGACACGTTTCGACTTGCAAACAATGTTGCAGGCTTTTGCCGAACCGAGTACGAGTGATCTCGTCAGGCCCAAGGACCGTGTTGCGATAATTCGTGACGCAAAAAGCGCTGTTGCCGCTGTGTAAGCTGCCAGGAAGTAGGTCCTCAGAATGACAGACAGCCAAACGGCGCCGAGGAGTCGCTGGAAACCGAGGGCAAGGTTGACCGTCCTCGCAAACAGAGTCACGAACTCGGACCCTGGCCGGATGGCGATGGAATCGATGGGGGCAATAACGACGGTATTCATGGTGCATATGACTTGTTGACTACAGAAAGTTCATGAACAGTCATGGAGCCTGGTCTGAATCATAGAAGGAGCATCGGGCCTCTCGAAAGTAAGAAATACGACGGGCAGACCTGATGATGCCCAAGACCGTCTATATACCGCACGTCTGCAGCAGCCTCCCTATGCCAGGACCCCGCCTCTCAACCCCGCCCGCGCCGGCCGTGGCTCCGACTTACTTCCGTGCATCAACTACGGTACCGGCGGTTAACATGTCTCCATGCATGTCTGTGCAGCAGAACCGGCGAATTCAATTCGATTCATCGACCCTTGAGATCATTTTGACGTGAACATACCCCACAGGCCCAGGCCCCCCTGAGGCGAACGACAGCAGCACGTGGGACGCTGATTCGTCGGATTTTCGACGTGCCGTGTTGGCTGGTGCCCCGCGACGCGGGAACGTGGGATGGCGATGAAATTGATTCGCTGCTTGGGGTGAGCTGGACCAGCGAATGGTCTTATGCTGGGAAGTTGTACGTGGGGGTGACTGATGGGGCCCTCCATCGTTTTCGTTCAGTGAAGAGAATCCGGAGCGCCCTGCCTCTACCCTCGCCGTCGCCCCTCCTGTCGGGTCACATGACAAAACACCCTTGGCGGAAGCGACAGCTCTGTATTGAATACAGCGAGCGACTGACCCATAATGCCTCAGGGGAGAACTCCAGACATTCCAGACCACGCGAGCATGGCGGGGGATGCTTGTGCGGTTCCGTGGCACGGTGGAGATGGAGATGGATCCTGAAGTGAATTGATTCACATAAAGACGGATAATGCATACCCTTTTTTTTTTTTTTTTTTTTTTTTTCTTTTTCCCATGGTGTGGCCTGGTAAGCAGCTGACGGCTTCAAAAATGGGCTGGCTATGTTCACTGCTGCTTTCAAGACTGCACATGCGTCCACATTATTTTTGTTCGCCCAAATAGCAGGCAAACCGCTTTGCCCTTTTCTTTTTCTGCCCTCTTTTTCCGGAGAGAGGCGAGGCGAACTTAATAAGTACCCTCAGCGTGTGCCTGAATGTTTAATCTGCGCATTGGGGCCGTCATCAAAGAGGCTGGTCGCAATCACAAGTCAGTGTCTCGAAGCTCACAGCCGGAGGCGCCCGACGCACCAGACCCTCCGCCATTTCGGCCGAAATTGCAAAGAGGGGTCTCTTTTCCTCATCCAACGCGCCCTTTGTTCGACAACCTCGGACCCTGGCAAGCATTCGTCAAGCTAAGCTTTTTGACCGTCGCCCTACGGCCGGGAGCGCAGCAGGAAGCCGGCTGGGAGCGCAGCAGGAAGCCGGCTGGGCACCACAGGGCTACAGGAAGACCAGGGGCATCGGGGTTTGCTTGGATGGGTCAACGTGCCAGAATGCGTACGAGCGCGTGTCCAATTCCCAACCTCGGCCCCTTTGACGACTCGCCTCCTTCTAGCTTTGGCACTAGAACGATAGCCACAATCTGGTGGCCACCCGGCGACTGGCAAATTGGCGCGCAGGGCGCGATCCGGATAAACGCCTCCTCAAATCGAGCTTGATTTCCGACCGTTGTCTGCCAAGCTATGCCGTTTCCTGCCAACTTCCGATGCGACGCCTGCCGAAGAGCCGTCCTGGTGCGGCTCTGCGTGGACACCATGTTGCGCCAGACCCTGCTCAGGCGCATCTCATGTTGGCCGTGACTGGTCAGTACGTAAACCTTCTCCACGATTGCAGACCCTATTACGAGCATGTTCGTTTGGCTATCGCCCGAGGGCCCTTGGGTGGCCCAGCACGGCGACGGTTGGCCACCACACCACTGCTGTCTGGCGCAAGTATCCTGGGGCTCGATGCCAGGAATGCCGTTGTAGCCGGATAGAGCCGCACTGGGTTTCCCACAAAGGAAGGTCGTTATCAAGAATGTGGATGCGCGCGTACACGACCTCGTGGTCGGGAACTTCCAGGTCTGGTTTGGGATCAGCGCACTCCAAAGTCTCCATTGTGTACGCGATGGCCGCACAGATGCGACGTTCGCAGGCATCTTCGCGTGAGCTTGGGTCTCCATCTTTGTATGCCCTTATCTTGGATCCATGGAGTCGGGTAGCCCGCTGGAGTAGCGGTTCCAGACCCCTTGACGAATTGACGAGACGAATAGCAAGCCGGCGAGCGCTCGACATGTGCAGGTGAGACGAGACTTATCATCTGGAGGTATGGGGACCCCTCGTCGGACAAGGGCGCCCTTCCCATGTCCAGTTCCTACCCGACTACCCACCCCGCAAACGACTAGACACTGATGTCTCATGGACCGATACCGCGTGAGGAAGGTGAGTGTCGAGAGGGACGGCGCCACGTTGCCTGGGGTGGTGTGCTACCGAGTTTGTCCCCCTGGAGATAAATATGATGGCCGCCCATCATCGATGCGAACATGTTTCTCGCCTTGAAGTCTTGTCCCCCCAGCCCACCTGGCATTGTATCCAGCTTCCCGAGGATCTGTTTCAGACGCCTACAAAATGTCTGTCGAGAAGGACACCGTGAACGCGTCCTCCGCTGTTGACGGCATCGGTGCGCCAACTCCCTTGGACGAGAAGAACACAACTGTCGACAATGTGTCGACCAAGCTCAGCGACGATGAGGAGCACCACGAGGAGGACCTCTATGTGCCCCTCAAGATGGATGCCGATCTGCCTCCCGAAGGCAACCCCCTCACCATCCGTGCCGTCGTCGTCGGTTGCATTCTCGGATCGCTTGTCAACGCATCCAACGTCTACCTAGGTAGGTCAAAGTCTCTCAACTACAACCCCCAACAACTGCTGACTTTCCTGTCAAGGTCTCAAGACCGGCTTCACGTTCCTCGCCAGCATGTTCGGCGCCCTTTTCGGTTACGGCATCCTTAGACTCATGTCGCGGACCAACATCCCCATCATCGGTGGCTACTTTGGTCCTCAGGAGAACAGTATCGTCCAGGCTGCTGCCACTGGTGCTGGTGGCTTCGCCGGCATTTTCGTGGCTGGCATTCCCGCCATGTACCGTCTTGGTCTGCTCAGCGACTCGCCAAAGAACGACATTGGCAAGATTTTCACTTTGACCATCTCTTGTGCCTTCTTTGGTATCTTCTTCGTTACCCCCTTGCGCAAGTTCTTCGTCATTCGCGTTGCGCGCGAACTGCGCCTGATGTTTCCGACCGCGACCGCCGCGGCGCTGACCATCCGTTCTATGCACGCCGGCCTTTCGGGAGCTCGGGAGGCTTTCAGCAAGCTCAAGGCTGTGTCGACGGCGTTTGTCGTCTGCATCGTCCACCGTGTCGTTTCGTACTATGCCGTCGGCATTCTGTACGACTGGCACTTCTTCACCTGGATCCATATTTGGAGCGGCTATTCTTCGTGGGCTCTGAACATTGAGTCTTGGGGATGGTACTTTGAGTGGACCACTGCCTTCATCGGTTCCGGTATGCTCATCGGTCTCAACTCTGCCCTGTCCATGTTTGCCGGTTCCGTTCTCGCATGGGGTGTCATCGGACCTGCTCTCGTCCACTACGGCGAGTGCATCGGCAAGGACGTCTCCGACGGCGACCCGAAGTGGGATGGTCTGTACAGCTTCTACTCTCTGGCCAACATCGGCAAGGGCCCCTCGTCTCCCCGGTACTGGCTGCTCTGGCCCGGTGTCATGATCATGGTGTGCGCCTCCATGGCTGAGCTGGCCGTGCACTGGAGGATCATCTCGTACGGCGTCAAGGCCCTCTGGTCTTCTTCGTGCGCCTCAATCCACTCGATGGCCGAGAAGCGGGGCAAGCGCATCGAATTCTTCGCCAAGCGTGCCGACGCATACAGCACGTCGTCGGAGCAAGACGTCGTCAAGGACCCTTCGCCGCCTGAGGATCAGGTCCCCATGTGGATGTGGACGTCTGGTCTGCTGGTCTCGATCGTTCTCGCCATTGTCCTCATGGCCGTCGAGTGGAAGATCCACGTTGGCCTGACCATCCTGGCGCTGGTGCTGGCGTTCCTCTTCTCTTTCTTGGCCATCCAGATTGGTGCCGTGACTGACCAGACGCCTTTGACGGCAGCCGCCAAGGCCTCGCAGCTTGTCATCGGTGGTGCCACCTCGGGCATGGGATACGGCGTGCAGCACGCGCAGCGCGTCAACCTCGTGGCCGGTGGTCTCGCCTCGGGTGCCGCTGACGTGTCAACGGCCCTGACCTCCGACTTCCGCACCGGTTTCCTGCTCGGCACTCCTCCCATCAAGCAGTTCATCGCCCAGGCCATCGGCACCTTTGTCTCAGTGTGGCTCGCCCCGGGTCTGTTCATCCTCTTCACCACTGCCTACCCCTGCATCATCAACCCGGATATCGATGGCGGCCACTGCGCCTTCGGCGCCCCCTCTGTCGGCGCCTGGGCTGCCGTTGCGCAGGTCGTCACCGAGCCCAATGTCAGCATCCCGCTGTCGTCCGGCATCTTCTCCATCGTCATGGGTGTTCTCTCCATCATCCAGGTTGTCCTCCGCCACCACTACCTCGTCGGCGAGCGTGAAAAGTACCGCGAGTACCTCCCCAACTGGGGCGCCATTGCTCTGTCGTTTGTCATTCCCGGCCCCGTCTTCACCAACGCCGCTCTGCTCGGTGCCATCATCTCGGCCGTCTGGCGCAAGTGGAAGCCCGCCAGCTTTGAGATTTACGCCTACGCCATCGCTGCCGGTATGATTGCCGGTGAGGGCATGGGCGGTGTCGTCGGCGCCGTTCTGCAGCTCGCCGGTGTCTCGGGAGATATCAAGGGCACCATGGTCGGATGCCCGATGAACTCATGCTAAGTCGTGTCTTCATTCTTTCTTCGGGGGCATGACGATAGTTTTCATGAGACACGAGGGGGCAGAAGCACTCTACGGTAATGAGGAGGTGGATAGTCTTTAGGAGCGAGTATTTAGGCAGCAGCCAAATCAATCACTTTTTATTGAATTACGGATCCTACTCAGCATTATGACTATGTGGTGTGTGGATCGGATGATATGATTTTGTTCCTACTTGCTGACATGCAGTCCTGGACAGGCACCGAGATTGAGTCACCGAAGTGCATTTTAAGTGCTTACATTTTTTACAGGGGAGGGGTTCTCGGAGTAAATGGAGGATTCCGATCCCGGGTGTCGGTCGCCGTCAGGATGTTGCTTCAGGCCACGGACAGACTTGCTCTCGATCTTGTTGGGTTTACCGCTGCTGATGGGCGACGTTTCGGTCGCAGTTGAGGGTGCCGCATGCGGTTGCGCTGAAGCTAGTCTCCGTCTCCCGCGTCGGTCTCCTCGTCGCCTCGTCGTGAGAACAGTGGAGTTCCCAATCGCGCGCTGTTGACCGAATGCGCCAGCAGCTTGAACTGGCCGCCCACCACCTACTCCATGGCAGTATGACATTGCCGGGGCGCGGGCGCGGGGGGGGGAGGGGGGCAGCCATCGATTGAAGATGACAGGTCACTACACGAAAGAAGGAGGGCACCAGTGTAACCTGCAAGCTGCAGTCAAGCAAGCGGTCAGTGGCATTACGAGAGCCCAGGTCCTATTTCGAGAGACGGACGGCGGTCGGTCCCTTGAAGAGATGCGTCAGCAGGCTCTACTCCGTCCGACTGCGACCGGTGCCGTGCGACGATGGACGTTCTCATGACTGAGGCCCGCGTTGGCGGTGAGGAGGTTGGTTGACAGCGATTGCAACGTTGCGCCTGGTTCATTTGGGACACGAGCCGGGAGTGGGCGGCGCGGCGCTATTCGGAGACATTGAGCCATTGCTTTCGTCTAGGCACGGCGGGCGACAGCACAGCATGCATCTTGGATACTCTGTTCGGCGGCCTCGTTTCCCCTGGCAAGGGAACGACGTGTCAAGGTGCAGACCAGAACAGGTAAGACACGATCACGAAGGCTCTAGAAAAGTAGCTGTAAAGAGAGGCGGGAAGAGGGGTACACGGGACAGCCAAGGCGCAGGGATCGGAGCTTCGGCACCTGGCCCAAGTGCCGCGCCCAGCACGGCTGGTGGATGAGGGGAGGGGAGGGAGGTCACCAGTGGCCTTGAGGAACAGTGATGAGGGATCCTACGCGGCCCCCATGGGTCTGCCGGGCGATCAATCCTGCAGCCCAGCCGCCAGGCAGCCTCCCGCGGTGCCGATGCCCGATTGCAGCTTTGTTCGCCTACTCTCTGCTGCTCGTTCGCGCCTGCTCTTGCGCGTAGCCAGGAACCAGGTACCATGGGAGCTGAAAATACTGATGCTTTCGTTTGTTGGAGGCGGGGCCACTAGGTCGGAGAAGAAGGGGACACAAACTTCTCGAACACAAGAGTCGTGTCTTGCAAATACTGTATGCCCGAGACATGGCCCCTCGTGGTGGTGGACGGGAGCAGCAGCCAGCACCTCTTGTTCGCACTCCACCAGGAGCCCGGCCTCCCCGGCTTCTCGCCATCGAACGTCTGAAGAGACCCTGCGTCGGCCGAAATACGAACAGATCTGCGGTCACGAACCACCCCGACCTCCAAGTCGGCGGCGATCGACGCAAGCCCACAGGAGGGAAAGGTCTCTGCTGATGCTCGTCGTCCTTGCGCTCGCCATTCGCCGCACGCAACGATCGGATTCTTTGCTGCCGCCCCTGTTGGCGGAGTTGGTCGGAGGGTTCACAGGCTGAGGCGGAGCGCAACAACTACACTCAATGGACGGTCGCGGCTGGAGGGGTATACGAGCGTCGTGCTACGTCATGGTCATGATCATCACTGGTGGTTGGGGTTGTTTTTTTGGGACCGGCATTCGTTCATCATGGAAATGCAGTCGGGTAGTCTCTCTCAGAGGGAGTGCTCATGGCAAAGATGAACATGGGACATGTTTTGGTATATAACGCGTGGATCGTCCACGTTTGAAGCGTTCCTGGATTCTCCAAAACACCTGTTCCTATCCGGCATTCACTCCACATACGCATTAAGTTGCACGTTTGTTTTAAATTACCTCCTTCCGAAAGTACTATCCAACACCAAAGACATCTACATCGTCACAGTCACGATGCACGCCTCACTTCTCTCCCTCCTGCTGGCCCCCTTGGCCCTCGCCAGCCCCATCCTCTCCCGCGCTGACAAGCAGACCTGCTTCTCAACAACATCGGCCGTAAAGTCATGGGAGCTGAAGTCCTTCGACTTCCATGCCAACTACATCTTCTCGACCCCATCGCATCAGAACTCGTGGGGCTACGTTTCCTTCGTCCTAGAAAACGCCATTCTCGGCACAAAGACAAAATGCGAAGCCTCGAGCAGCAGCCTAAACGACTTTTTCTACGGCGATGTTGACTACCAGTGTGAGGCGCCAGAGGGAGACGTTCCCAAGGATGAGCCGAGATTGTCGCAGACCACGTTCCGCTTCGACCGCCCCGGCGGAGAGGTCCAGGTCGCGCAGAGCTGGTATTGCTTCGACGACCCGCAGTTCCCGTAAGTTCTGCCCAGCCACGTTTGGTTGTGTATAGTGACCACCTCATGCTGACACGTACAGGTCTACGATCACGGCGAAGGGCGGAGAGAGTGTGAAGCTCGACTGTGAGGAGACGTATACCGAGAACAGTAACTGGACCATTGGGGAGATCTACTCGCAGAGGGACATAACGTGTGGCATTGTTGACCTGACGGTGCCGGTGAAGGAGATTTCAGCCGTGGCTTGAGGGGCTTAGTGATGTCAAAGCATGTGATTAATGTCATTTCAGCGGTACATTTCAATTATTACGCTTCGGATACCTTGGGTTACTCCTTGCTTTATGCTCCGTCGAAACCAGCTCTGGAACGTATTTCGCACTTGTAAACCGAATCAGTCCATGTTACCTGCATCATACATACTGTCATGCGTCACGCGCGCCTGAATCGAATTACGTACCAAAGATAACCCAGAAGTTGATTAGGTACAACGATGAGAGAATCGTGCCTTGACTAGCATGTGGCGGACAACATTGCACTAGCCGTGAACTTCAGCCGTCAGCCCATACATGGCCACAAACACGGACTGCCGCATCTCGCCGCCGGAGACCGTTGCCTGCCCGCACCCCAGGCCTCATTACTCGCCCTCACAGCCTGAATCGTAACATATTTGAACGAACTTTCAACACTTTACGCTCAGCAAACAACAAAAAAATGTGTGAAAGAGCATGGTAAACTTGTGAAAGGGTTAGAGGTCAACACGAGCGAACAAGCCAGCGTATCCTGCCGTTATCACCGACACCAACTGTTTCGCTCTCCAGCTTGACCAAAGGCAACTCATTGAATACATGCGAATGAGGGCGCTCTTCTATGCGTCATTCAGATGACAATTTCTTGCCTGCTATCTTGGCCCAAGTGGCAAGCTCCGAGCGCTTCCCTGCAGCAAAAACATGCCGTGACGGAGCCATACTGGGCAATTCCTTGTGCACCATAAAAAATATCACAGGCACAATCTATGTCTCATGTATCAAGACGCGTAATTGAATGCCGGGCAGGATCCCCGAGAACTAGGTGTGCGAATGGAGGCAGTCCACATCACGATGGACTCTCTTCTTCTTCTTACAAGCCCATACTGAATACTATCGTGTGCTTCACGTCGTAAAGAAACCGAAGCTCATCTACAGCCGCACTCTCCACATACAACCTACCAAGATGACCGATTTCAGGCAATCTATCCACCACTGTGAAGCTATGACGGGAATGAAGCACGGTCCTAATGATTGTCGACAATCATAGACCTGACAAATCGTGTTGAAAGTTTTAACAAGAGCTGACACCATAGCAGCAGTGGCCTGAGGAAGGAGCCTGATTTTAAGGCCTTGGCAAAACGCCTTTGCGGATAAAACCGCCTTCGATGGATGGATTCAGTGGCCTGTTCGGCCATGGTGCTGGAAAGCAACCCGATGGCGCTTTTTCTGAGTCGTTTAAATGTGAAAGGGCCATGCACCCATCTATAGCCGAGCTTGGAAACCCCCGCTGGGTAAGCTGGTTTTCTCTCAATTATTGCTAATCTGGCCATTCCGAAGTGCACCAATCTTGGGTATTATGTTGTAGCAACGTGAGAGCTTTGTAGTAATGTGCCGTAGAAACGGCGTACTTCGCATAAGTCGGTTCGTGTTTTGCCATTCAGTTGATGAATCGATGAAGCGAAGTACAACCAGCAATTGAATCACTTGGCTACTATGGCTCTTCCTTAAGCCCGGCCATCAGAAGGTCCCGGTGGAGGCGTTACTCGGCTATGGAGTCTCTTCGCCCGGTCTCCGACAATGCCCGACTACGTACAGGCTCCCTATTTTCTTCCCTCCCCACGGAGACCGGTTTAAGCCCATCAATGAACCCCATGGGACAAGAATGAGCGCGAAACCGGATCCCTTCCCCATTGGATATCATGGAGCGGCTTTCTGCCCGACGTCTGCAGGACGGTATGCGGGGAAATTCGCTGATGTTCTTGGCCTCATCCTGGCTCCTTGGCACATGAGTCTGGTCGACACGACACTCTAATCAAGTTAAGCTTGTTTTCACCCTGAGCTGACCATTGAGCACATGCAAACCAAGCTTAGTTGGTGGCTAGTGCTTGTCGATCAGTTACTCCTCGCTGGGGAGAGAGTTGGCGTGGAATCAACAAATAATGCGCAAAGGAAGCCCCCGTAACAGGTCTCATCGATAAACCCCTCACGCATGTAGTTGTGATCGTCAAAAAAACGGCGAAGACGCTGCAGTTGGCGCACACGCAGTGCAACCAGCCTCGCGTTAGTCTGGGATCCCCACACTGCATCCCGAGAAGATACGATGGTGCAATAAGCAAACAGTCGGGCCTGAAGGATCCCTTGGCATGACATGATGATCATCGAGGACCGGGGAAGATTTCACAGGGGCCATTATTTCAGAACTATAAAGGAAAAGCTGCTGGCACCCTTTCCTTGGTCGCAGTTCTCCGCTGATAGCAGATCATTGTCATTTTGTTCCACCATGTCTCCGACGATACAGCCCGCAAAGTCCGGGAGATGGCGCTGTGCTATCGCCCATCCACACCGAAGATGTCCTGAAAAGTGAAGTCGAAGAACGTCGGGACTACTCCGGGCGCCCGCGGAGAAACCGACCCCGCGAGATCGCACTTGTCCGCAACTGGACTGGTGGATCATGCCTATCTTTGGCTGATGTATGGTGAACTATCTGTACCGAGCACAATGTCGTCGCAGTACTCGACCCATGTAGGAGCTGAACTAATCTACACTAGGATCGAACGCATGCCTGCGAACTCACACTCTGAGAGACTAACTCACAGATCACAGTACAAACATGCGTGTCATCCTGTCGTCGGTTACGTCATCGTCGGCATCCAGCAACATGGTGGTTACCCGAATTAGGCCAGCATATGGATGGCCTCATGCATGACTGTGTGGGCCATCATCAGCGGGCTCACGGCGATTAGTCGCAACTACACCGGCCTGCTGCTGACCCGTTTCTTCTTGGGTATCACTGAAGCTCCTTACTACCCAGGTGCCCTCTACATCCTGGCAACCTTTTACACACGAAAAGAATTAGCCACGCGCATTTCAATTCTTTACACCGGCAATATCCTTGCGACGGCATTTGCTGGTTTGATTGCGTTGGGCATCTTTGAGATGCACGGCATGGTAAGCAGAACTCTTGATTGGGATTTGAAAGATCGCTAACATTCTGGAGGCTGGCATCTCGGGATGGCAATGGCTCTTCATCATACAAGGCGCTGCCACGCTCATCGTCGCTCTCGCGGCCTTCTTCATCCTTCCTGACGAGCCCCTCACTACGAAATGGCTGACACCAGAGGAGCGTAAGCTAGCCCATGAAAGAACCCAAGAGGATACTGTGGCAAACCAGGGCCAGACTACAACCTGGTCAGGCATTCTGGATGCTGCCAAGGATCCAAAGGTCTGGCTGTTTGTGGCTATGCAGCACGGCCATCTCGGAGCAAACGGATTCAAGAACTTCTTTCCCACTGCCATTCGCACACTTGGATTCAACCAAACGATTACCCTTGTTCTCACGTGCCCGCCGTATCTCATTGCTGGATTTGTTTCGATTGCTTGGTCGTGGTCATCTGGTAGATTCAATGAACGCACATGGTGAGCTAAGTTGCTGTCTGAGTCTCCTGTTGCCTTGCTGACCTTGACAGGCATATCACCATAGGAAAGGCGATCGCTGTATTTGGGTTTGTCTTAGGCTGTGCAACCCTCAACACCGGCGCCCGGTATTGTATGAGCCCCTCCGTGCTAGCGCTCTTCATACGAGCTCCTAAACAACTCCCACCTCGTCCACATTCATGGACTAGATTTATTACCGTGGGCAAAAGGCTAATCCGTCGCATTAGTTGCCATGTGCGTCTTCTCCGTGGGTACCTACTCCTGTAACTCGATTATCCTCGGATGGGTGTCGGCAACTTGCTCGCAAACAAGAGAAAAAAAGGCTTGTTCTCTTGCCATCGTGAACTGCTTGGCTGTCGCAAGTTTCATTTGGACGCCGTACCTATGGCCTGAATCTGACGAGCCTCGTTACACGATGGCCATGTCAACGAGTGCTGCTCTAAGCATTCTGGTGGCAGCTGGCGCGTGGGGCATGCGGTACTGGCTGAAGCAAGAGAACGAGAAGATCCGGCAGTCGGAAGATGAGACGACTGTTTTCTACGCCTACTGAATGAAAGGTCTTGACGACGCCTTGAGGCTCGATCTCGACACGACTTGAGTTGATTCTGGACGAGACGTATCAGGTGTTGAGCTCAAAATTGATAACGGTTGCAAACTAACTGTCGAAATTGGAAGTATTCGATCGCTGCCCATTTCCTTGGCTGCGGTGAGCGAATGGATAAAAGTCAAACTGAACCGGTACCTCTCAAGTGACAGTCTCATCGTACTCCCACGGTCTTTCCACGCGTCTCTGCTCTTCCTCAACTTCACGAAGTCGTGTCCTAACAGCCATCAAAGCTTTCCCCAGCCTATTCTCCCCCCAATGCTTTCTTTGCGACATTGCATGCTTAGCCGTATACCCGATTCCCCAAACACGATCTCTGGACGCCGCTTCACACACTATTCTGTCGCCTGTAGCCAGCAGCTTCCTCTGCAGATGGATGTTCTGAGTAAACTTGGCCAAGTTGCCAGCTTCGACGACCTGACTCTTCACCTCGTCCCATCGTGCTTCGTAAAGTGACGGTCAGCTTCGCCAGTCTCTTCTGTCCTTTTGGGCTGTCCAGTTGCCCATAATTCGACGGCTGCGATCGTGGTTCGCTGAAGCGGGCCTGCCTTGCAAAGCATCATAATTTGTTCGGCGCAATTGAACTTGATCATGCAGGGATCCCCAGATATAGAATCGACGCTGTCCTCCACGTCTGGGGCTATGACATAGACACGAGATCTTGGAGCACTGCGCGTGAGACTTAGAAAACGGAAGGATACGGGGGTCAAAGTGGTCCATGCAATGCATCACGCATGTAGAAGAATAAAAAGTGCTCGCTTGCGGTGTCATTGGGCCTTGCTGCGACGACTGGCTGGGGGGGTCATATCGTGTATGAAGCGAGTGCGTCGAAGTTGTCGATACAACGATGCGCAAACGAAGGATCTCCGAGGCGCAATATTGTGAGACAGGATACACTTTGAACCATCACATCGTTGCGACATGCATGAGTCGATAGGCGGAAGCTTGTTCACTCGTCAAAGCTTAATCCCGACTGGAGGATTCTCCACCCTGGCAGCCACGCAAGAAACAACAGGTAAGGTTTTCTTTCAAAAAAGTGAAGGTGTACAAACAGGGGAATCATTAATTGACGCTACATACATATACAGCTATCATAAAGGTCGTATCGCTTAAGCCAGAGGGGCGCAGCTGAAGGGGCTGCTGACAGTGCCATTGCGGAACTTGAGGTTCTGTGAAAGATTATCATTAGCATTTGAATCCCAACACACTCACCAGGGTAGGTGGCGAAAACTTACGATTTCCTCAATACTGGCGTAGGTACCGCAAACCAGCACATCGATGACAATGACAAACGCCAGGCCGTTACCCGCAGACTTGAGAAGGTTCTCCTTGGCGTTCCACTTGCCCTCCTTGATGAGCATGAACCACATGATGGCGGGGAAGTAGAAGGTGAAGCCGGAGATGAAGAGAGACGAGCTGATGGAGAGGAGCTCGGAGAAGAAGGGGATGGCCTCCGCAATGATCCACGCGACAATGGTGATGACGGTGATGAGCGCCAGCCAGGTGATCCAGCCCATCTTAGTGTTGATGAAGCGGACGATGGAATCCTTGTACATGCGTCCATGAATGTAGCGACCAACGACGGTGGTGTTAATCGAGCCAGAAATGAAGATGACGGGAAGCGCGACGCCAAAGGCAATCTTGGAGACAGTGGGGCCGGCGGACAGAAGGGCCGGCGAGCGGACCTCCTGGCCCACGAAGGCGTAAATCAGGGCGCCGGTCAGAGTGTAAATGAAAATCTCGATAATGCCGAGAGCCCAGATCGACTTGACGTAGTCTTTGGGGGTGTGCATCTCGTCCATGAAGGAGAACTGGCAAACGGCGAAGCTGTAGGCGAACACAATGTTGGTGATGGCGATGAAAGCCTCGGCGAAGGTGATGCTCTCCTTGGGCCAGGCAGACCAGGCGGCCGTGGTGATGTCGCCACGCTGGACACCGGTGGCGATGATGGTAATTCCAATGGCGAGGACGATCGATACGAAGTCGATGTAGCCGAGAATGGCTACCTCGGCGAACGAAGGTGGGACCGCAAGAATGAGGAGGATAATGGCCGAGGTGGG